ATAATTTCGACAGTTTTCACAAAGAATCAGTGAATCCTTTGAAAACAGAACTGAAAAACTTATCTTAATAACTAATTCAGAAGATTATTTTTTCTTAATAAGTTAATAGTTAGTTTATTATTTAAATAAGTTTATTATTGAATAAGTAGAAACCATTTAAAATATGCAAGATTGTTAAATTACGCAAGTTCAGTATTTTCGAGGTGAACGACAAATTTCGGATTTTCTAGATCGCTAACTATATCAGAACAAAAATAGCTGTTACTTACCTACCCGTATTGGCCTAGTTATAAACTAACCTAAAATCAACCTCAGTATGAATAGTTTGCAAAATATTTGTAGTCGTCAGGGATATTATTTTTATATTATATTATTTATCTTGACAAGCTTGTCGAAAATATTTTGTAGCCTTCAAACCTTAAGGAATTACCTTGAGCAATTACAGATTTTGATATTTCAATTGCAGTTTATCTTATTTTACAGCAGCAAGAATAGCTTCAACAGCGGTTTTCTTATTCCACAAAGTATTCTTATTAACTTAAATTAAGAAGATCAGTAATGAAATATTTAACAACTTTAAGCGGGTAACCTTGAATATAAAAACAGGTTTTCGTTGGTAAAAAATTTCCAACCAAGGCATTTCACCCTAAAGTGTCGGTCATTATGTTTCCAGTAACAATGTTCAATGGGGCTGGAGCCGAGATAAATATTCACACCCCGATAGCGATGTTCCGGAGTCGAGGTCGTTCTCAGAGCTATGTATAAGTGAAAAATGATAAGCATTTTAAATTACTTGATTTTGACAGCTATTTTACATTTATAAAACAAACGAGAGATTTAAGTAAATTACTCTCTTACTAAATTCATTAATTATTTCTTTCCATCACATACCAATAAATATAGATAAATACTTGAACGAATATTGTTAACTTCTCGAAACTCATCTGTTGGCACTTCAACTTAAATTTGTGGGAAACAATAGTACGAGTGAACTTAACACCAAGGGATGGTTAACTTTAATTAATTGCACGATTTGTCTGGAGTTTCGACGGGAACTAACGAGGTGACCGCCTACAACGATATAATTAAACAGCTTCAAAAGGCGCGCATCGTCTCCATTAAAGTTTAGATACTCCTGAATAATATCCTCATTAGACCTAAGAGTTACACAACATCTGCGACGATCGCCACCCACGACAGAACAAGAGTTATGAGGACACGCTCTCATTCCCGACATCCTGCGGGAAGTGCGACTACTTGCGTCGGCATCGTGCAGGACCTTAGCCTCGCTGTTGTAGTTACCCTATTGTAGACGATCCTTCAGACGCTTGCAAGTAGGATTTATGAGTCTTAGACGGTAAAAAGGTTTACACATACTGATTCACCATAATACTCTTCAAATACTGAGAGCACAAATGCAACGAATCGAGTGTTCTCTAATGGGCGAAATATTCTAGCACATGCAATTCGCACTTACGTGGAAGAGATTTGCATCTAATGAATTTACCCAGAAGATCTCTGTGAATTAAATTGAGTTATCTCTAAAAAGGGTTTTCGTTTTGCCGTGGCCTATATACGCAAGGCTGTTTTCTAATTTCACAGTCGACTGCCTATTACGGGCGCTAAAAGATACGAGTTCTGTGAGATATGTGGAGCGAGAAAAGTTTTACAAATTAAGAGAAACTTATTCGCTAACATGAATGGAGTATGATAGGTCAGCTTAATAAAGTTATGGGATAGAGTGCGTTAAGTGTATGAATAAATTTAGAACCAGAATTACTGGCCAGAAAATTATTTGTGGACAAATATTTTCAATAGCAAAGTATGTCCTTTAATGATGTTTAAAAAAGAGACGCATGTACAATACATTGAAGTAATAATGCGAGTGGTACAATGTTAGGATGGGCGAGGAAGGTCAACTATTCACGTATTGCCAATTATTTCTGCTCGGTATCTACCAGCTTCATTCATATGAGGAAGAGGTTGCCATCACAAATTTCGTGAATGACATGACAAAGAACATTAAGAGGTAGCTCTGTTGATGAATTAATCAGTCGTTTAAAGGTACTGTACATCCGTATTACTTAGGTAACGGATCGATAAGAGTGATATATACGGGACCACTCCTCTATTGGTAACCACTCTTAATTAGTGAGAGTTACTTTTAGCAAAGTAATTGGAATCAATAACCATATATTTAAAGCAGTCATCACTTTTAGGAAGCAAATGGTAATGAAAATTAGGTATTACATCATTTACTTGGTTCTTGGTAAAACTTGGTAACACAATATAAAACATTTAATTTCATTGTTTTATCAAGTTTATCTGCTTCAAATAAATCATGGATTATACTCGATGGACGAAATTTGCAATACGAGCTAACGTACGTGGGTATCCAGGCGGGGTATTTGCCTACGGATGTGTTGCTAACCTTGGACTAAGATGATTTCGTCTTGGAGCGCGTGCTGTGTCCTTTGACACAAATGCGGATGCGCTCAATTGGCGGTGACCGTTATCGAACCGCGCTAAAACACCACGCAAGGCTGTACTCCGCATTTTTGCAGTGTTTCAGTTGGCGAATAATGTGGAATTTCTGTTATATTTAATTTACGTGTTTTTTTTTTATATATAACAGTACTGATTAAATTTTAATATTTAATAGATCATTTAAATAACTGATTTTATAAACATCAAAACGATTTACCAGATTTTATGTATAGTTGCAAGATGGAGCAAGCAAAAGTAGTGGATGATTTGATAGTGGATGGCAAACAGATATAGAAGTAAAAACGCTTCACTTTAATGTTTTTTGAGAGGGACTTTCTCTTTAATTCCAAGTAGCTCCGATAATGTGAGGGCCATGCAGGATACACATAGAACGAGTTCCTTTGTTTCCTTAAGACACTGAGGTGACGCCCTAGTAGAAACCGACACCAGGACATTTCATAACCGTTACCGCTATGAAGAAACAAATGGTTAATAAAGAGGGTCTACATGTGGCAGTAAGGATGGTTCATGAACATGCGTGACGGAGGTACTAAAAGTAGTAGTTCAGAAATGACAGTATTAGGAAAGTAGGAATGTTGCATGGAAGCTAAAATTACAATGAGTTTCAATAAAAATGGGAACAGTTAAGATACATATTGATATATTATCACTATTTTATTAGTAGAAATTGTCATAAATTAAGTATTTTGGATATTAAGATATTAATAAAATAGGATAGGGCTAATCTATTTATCAAAAGTACACTTGACCTTAATCATTTTGCCCAGAGCTGAAAATCTTAACAGATGAAATCAAATTTTAATATAACTATTAGATTTTATTGAAGAAATCTAACCAATAAAATATTAGATTAGCATGAGAATGTTAAAATGTCACAAATGAAAAGTCTAAATTTGAAATGTATTTCTTTATTACACACTACAAACTTTCATAACAGCCTTGCTTCATCAAGTTATAGCTGCAATTATCAATTTCTTGGCAGTGCTATTTTGTTGATAAGTATAATACTATTTAGTAGAGTAACATAGACCTGCACTATATACAGATGTCAATAAAATTTTATAGAACTTGGCAGACAAACCAGTTGAAATAACGTCTTTGTCCAAGGTGCAATGAGTTAGTCAATATTTTTTATTAATACAGAATTATAACATAATTGTGTTCAACAATAACTGCAATTATATTATCTCTGCTGAGATGGTAGAAATGTATAATGGTGTAGGTAGGTTTGGAGTGACATAACATTTTTTTTAAGTTTTTATGTTTTATTTTTCAGGAAGTGTGATGGGTACCTGTCCACCAGAAATGATCATAAGTTGATGTATAAGTACGTAATGTATATAAACTGTAATACTGAACCAGTTATTAATTGAGAGAAATGGGCCTAAATTTAAAACATACTAGTATATAATTAATCAGAGAAAAAAAAAAAAACACTAATTCTACGTTGTCTTAAAATGTTGATGAAGACATCAACATTTTAGTGATTTTATGATGAACTTTACAATTTATGATTTTTTTCAATAGTTTTGATCTCTGCATTAAAATGAGACATTTTGAGATTCAACATTTTCACAATCGTTATATCATCGTTGATATGTCATTAAATACTTTTGTGGGTTATGGTATTGATTGAGACTTCCAAAAGAAAAAAGGTAGGCTGCTAATGATATTATATGCCTACCCTTTCTATTCATGTTTGTTTTTTCATACTGCTACCGACAGTCTTAATTCTTAAGACCTTAAGATATTTAAGCTTAGGTAACATGCTTGAAATATAATTTAATGTGTAATAACATATCGTGTTTCTTAGAACATTTTTTTTCTAAGCCCGTTTCTCTATGTGGCTTCCAAAATCTATAATATCTTCTGAAATTGTTCATTAATCTACAGTAGAACCAATAACCATTATGCTTTATGGATGATTACATAATTTTAACTGAATAAGTATGAACAAAGAACTTTCATCTTTATTCTTTTATAAACTTAAAACAAAAGTATCTTTTTCCTGAAGGTTCTTATAAGATATTAAGACTTTTAAACCAAATCTATTTGAACAAATAAAAAAATCCCATAACGACAAGTATATTACTCGCTAAAATTGGCTTTACAATTTATAATGCAATAAATAATTAATTTACCGGCTTAAATCTTATTGGATTGTCGATCTCAGGACGTTTAAATGCATTCCGTCAAATAAAAGCAGATAATTATTGAAAAATATTAGAGTATAAACAGACACGAATAATTTCTGATTGCATAATGTTTTAAAATAGCGCGTTTTAATTCAAAATAACATTAAAACCGGTGAAATATGAATTAATACAGAAACCAACGGTAGGGGCGTGGTCTTCTTCACTTTTTTGCATGTTAAATGTCACAATCTGCATGCGAAACTTATGGAGAAAACATTGTATGACATATAAACTACATGAAGAACGACGCAATAGTCTAAAAACAACGATAATAAAGTAGAAAAAAATAATACTTACGTCCAGAGACTCCTTAGACGCCATCTTTCACACACAAACAAATTAGTTTGACGTTTCCCTAAAAATCGATAACAACTTTCGAGGTTTTTGATCGGATACACCTCCAAAATAAAAGTAACCTTACATCATAATTGATTTTTGTAAATTCTGATGCCATGGAAGAAAACATAAAAGTATGTTGAAAATAAAATTCAGAAAAAAAGCGCTGACAACTGAAATAAGTTATACAAGATTATAAATTTTTTGTGTAGACTACGTTAGTTTTTTTTATAACATCTTTCTTCTCGCTTTCTTGTAATCTGTGGGAGTGATTTCGCAATAAGGGACGAGAGTGTGTAACAGAAACCGATATCTTTCCAAATTAAACAGTCGAAAGCAAAAATAAAATTTATGGTTCTCAAATTGGAACACACCTTTCTGTACCAGACTGTTTATTTTCAGATCTTAATTCTTTTCGTTATGATTTTTAAAATAACAATGCTACCATTATGAATGATTTTATAAAACTACTCTATATTGAAATGCTTATACCGGTGGTTGGTATAAAATTTTATTTATTTATTTATTAGCTTAGTTGCTGTTAGAATAAAATGAAAACGATTAAGTAGTAAGAACAGAACGGAATAGTAGTAGTAAATACAACGTCGGTTATCCAATTTATCTCTAGTTACTTAGGGCTAATTGTGCAAAAATAATTAGGGAAATTAAATATTTTGTATAGAATTGTATACAAGATTATAAGAATGGGCTAATTGCCAACATAACAGTTAAGTACTGAGGCAACATGCAGCAATACGCCAAATAGTGCTAGTACAGTTTTTAAAAGGTTTAGTAAATTTGACATAGCTACCTATTTATGTACGAATTTTAATGATTCCTACTTTGTAGTAGGAATCATTTAAATTCGTATATAAATCCCTGTCGGCCTGGTAACTATAAGAAGTTTTTAGTCTAAACCTTTATAAAAGTTAATGGTCTGAGGAAAATCTCGGAAACTAAAACTTGTTTAACTGGGACTATTCATATTTGCTTTTTTGCTAAACTAATTTAAATATTAAGGCTTTTCACTGGTAAGGTATTCAACAAATAATTCTCTAGCTATTTGACTTTGTGTTAAGATATTTAAAGCATGGTTATTAGTGCAGTTAATATCACATACTCAGATTTGTGCAAAATTGAGACTAATTTGAAAGTTATTGGAGATTTTCACTGCTGCAGCCACTGTGCCTTACGAAGATTTTCAGAAATGTTATAAATTTATCTTACGGTGAGTGTGTGTTATGTAGAATACCATTTGTACACAATTGATGGATGTTTAAGAAATGGTGGAATGTTTGCATTCGCTTTATTGATCTGGAACAACGTTACATTATTTGAGAAAAACTAGTATTGTTGGTGATTTTGTCGGTATTTGTAATCATCAATAGTCTAAAGACATTTAGCAAATGATTGGATACGAAACAGATATTCTTCCACTGTTGTACTCGTTGCTATCGTCTAAAAGAAAGTGATTTTTTTTTGTCTAACAACAGTATGAAGATGCGACGACTATCGACAGTATTTTGGACCGCAAGCCTTGGAATATTTATTTTAATACTTTATTTGGAATGTGGTATAAGTTTAGAATTGCCGAAAATTAAACACACATTAGAAGATAAAGATAAGGTGAGTAGGTATATTAGGTATATTAGGTATCTTTGAGAGTTTTGATACTGAAATAATATTTTAAGATATATTTATGTACGATCAATACTCTACCTTTTTTCAATGAAATTCCTTATCGTGCGTTACACGCTCTGAGCAGATGGAGCAAGACCGAAAAATGCAAAGTCCACAGACCCTTCCACGCCGTTTTATATTTTGACATGCTTTCCTTGGATGAACTACTAATACTTATATAGGGACGGCAAAGGAGCAGACGAGTCACCTGATGGTAAGTGAATACCATGCCCATGGACACCTACAACTCAAGAGTCACAAGTATATTTCCGCCCTTTCAACCCTCCCCTTAGACCCAAAGGATTTGAGCTCGGGTAAACTCATTCAGCATGTGAAAAGCAGAGAAAGAATTGCTTAACACAAGTTTTCTGTGAATGATGAGGCCGGCTTGGCATGTATAACCATGATACCATGGCAGTTCCACACCGTTCAATCCGGCCCATTTGTACTGAGCATGGTTTACCACCATCATAATTATCAACAGCCTTTACTAATCCACTGCTGGACATAGGCCTCTCCTTAGAAAGGAGGTTTTGGCCTACTATACCACGCTGGCCAGACGGGTTGGTATACGGTTTGTGTCAAGTTTTCCTTCTGTCTGCAGTGCTGTTGTCCTGCGTAGTATGGTATCATATGGTATGGACGAAATATTACATATAATTTGAAACTTATTGGATATTTTTACTGCTTCAACCACTGTACCTTACGAAGATTTTCAGACATGTTATAAAAATAAATAAATAAAGATTCCTGTTTCAGATATACCGCTACAAACCAGTAAGTATTTTTAGTGCTGGCCCTAATATTGCAGAGTGCAAATATTTAATTATAATATAACTTATCTTTATTCATACATACGGTATACGGTTGCATGCGGTTTATATAACCGCTTAACTTAAATTAACTGATTACTGTTTTTTTTTTCAACTAGCTAATGCTAAGTACAGTACAGATTCAGGCAATTTATTTTTGTACAAATTTACATTTCAATATTAATTTCTAAATTAAAAGAGTAAATACATGCTTTTTCTATGTCATTTTCCAAAGTATTGTCTAAATACTACAAGTTGTCCAAATAAATTAGAAAATGATGCTTATTCCATACAAACTTTGATCTTCTGCCACCTTCAGGTTTTATTTTTGCGAAAAATAGGAACCTATGTCTTTTTCTAAGGTCTTGTTTATCTCTATACCAAAATTCACAATTGGTTATGCGCGGTCGTGAATTAGAACTGAGCACAAACGGTCATCCTCATTCCCTTTCTCCAGTTTGCCTGATAAAAAGGAATCCAACATTGTTGCAATATAAACTCAAATCATGGCCAGTTTTATTTGAATCCATTGAAAATATAGTTTTGTATAGTTTTGTGGCGATTTCCACATGGAATAAAAGGTAGTAGAAACATACTACAGTGCCATCTATCAAAGACACACCGAACTACGAAGTAATTTTTCTGGCGGACTTAACGGATTTTAACGGATGGCGTAGTGGTTTAAGCGGTCGCCACGCCGCTTCCTACTACGTTACTACATGGGACTACACTTTGTGTGATGCACAAATTGTCGTTCTGAATCTGGGTGTTCTTTGTGTCAGTTTCATGTATGTTTGTAAAGTCCTCCGCGACACAGGATATATTCTTAATGCGGGAGTTGTCTTTTTCAAGAAAAAAAAACTGCTAATCCTGTATCGCGATATGAAGAAATCTCACACGGATTAGCACATATACAGCTTCCCAATCAACCGTTGGGCCGCGGCCCGCTAGGCACAATCACCTCGCCTGCGATTCTCGCTTTGTCTAGGAGTGACATAACACCCGTTCCTCCACAGTTTGCTTCAATATTAAAAAGTAGTTATAAAACAGCCTAACTTATAAACGCAAAGGTCAGTTCACAATGAAAAGTGGCATGCCACTGCGAGAACAATTGATTCAATAAAGAAATAATTTACTACATAACGATACACTCGTTGGTCTTGTTGTTAGTAATCCTGACTGCTAAATCAGAGGACGTGGGTTCGATTCCCACATAGATTAAATAATTGTGTGATGAGCACAATTATGAGTTCTGTATCTGGGTTTTGCTTATCTATAACTAACTGTACCCTGTTACGCTTCGTTGTATGTTACAACGAAGCGTGGCAAGGCAATTAGGGGTTGCATTGATATGAAATGAAGGAAAAAATTGATACGTAAAATATATAAAAACCATCTTTGAAGCAAATAATAAATTTCTGTAATCTTTTCAGTTTTTTTTTTGCTTAAGTTGGAAGCAGGTTGTATATCGTGTCAAACTGTTCTTAGTTTACTTCTCTTTCTCAACTGACATCTTCTTCCACTACGTGGATGGAAAACACTAGTTCCTAAAAACATATAAAAAAAAGGAAATATCTTTTGATGAACTTAAGCCGCCTCAATTTTCATAAAAACAGATTTTTATATAAACCTGCTAGAGAGAAAACCACTTAATCAGGTCTTGTAATAATAACTAGTTTTAGGTCTCTTATACAAAAAACCTGTGCGTCCTGAAGATAATTGCTAGTAGGTCAGACTGTCCTATACAAAGGCACTGGTTGGCAATAGCAATAGGAAAGCATAGTTGAATGCCTTTCTACTATTAAGTGCCGTTACTAACAATACTAATATAGAGGTAAAGTACTTTCTGTTTCTAACCCATTACTAAACAACCTATGGACTGTATATGTCTGAAGATAAAATTATTATTATTATTATTATAAGTAGGTACTTTCCAGGGCTCTTAGACCTCTTCAATCCACGTGGCTTCAAATCCTTGCCAAAATTCATATCTTCAATACAAAAAAATCAAGGCTGTTCATGCAAACTTGTGAGACCCTTAAGCCCCCTAAATACAACACGTTCGCATATCCCGTTTTTAGCTAACGTTCTCTATTTACTTATATAGAAATAACCCTCTGCCAAATGTTATTTTCATAATTCAAAAATAACCCAGTTTTTGTGATTGCTGAGTAAGGTATATCAGGGCCTCAATTCTGCTATGTTATGTTTACGCTAAGTCACTGTCATACCACTGACACTCTATTGAGAAAAATAAATAAATCATTTCCTTATAATTATAAATATATTACGTTTTTTTGAGGAAATGATTTATTTATTTTTCCAAATATGGCAATCTTTTTGATATCACCACTGATGAGCCACTGCCATTCCATCGCCACTGTAAAGACACTGAGTTAATGTAGACTACCGATATTTATACCGATGCCAATGGCCACTCGATGGCATCTCAATAGCGTGTCAGTGGTTATGACAGTGGCTTGGCGTGAACATAAAATAGCAGAATTTAAGCCCAGTGAGTCAGTTTCCTTTCGCTTGTATTACAAAGATAAATATCACTTTGACTGCACGAATAGCGTAGTGGTTTAAGCGGTCACCTCGCCGCTTCCTACTCCGCTGACTGTTGGGGGTTCGCTCCCCACATGGCACAAACAACACTTTGTGTAATCTACAAAATATTGTTCTGAGTCACACAAGGAACACCCATCCTTGTGTCCGTTCGATGGATGTTTGTGAACTCCCCCGACTCAGGATTATGTTCGTGGTGCGGGAGTTGCCTTTTTAGAGAAAAAGAAAAACATATTTATATAGAAACTATAATTTCAGTCCAAATGGTCGGCAATTGAATCGAAGCTACATCCTATTGAGAGTGAACTGAATAAACATTATGAGAAGTTCAGTGATATTAAATTTGCATTTCACCAAAAAAAATATCTATTACGGAAGAGATCTACAAATTTTTCAAATAAAGTACAGAAATTATCTAAGATTCCATTTAATCTTTCATCTTGTCCTATTCAAATGCAAATTGTTCCAAAGACAGACATACAGGTAATTAATATGTGTGTTTAATACTAATCCAGTTCAGTAATCCCTCTTCAAACCATTTTTTATTGTACTTAATGTAAAAATACCGATTTGTCACTTTACCGCGGTTAACTGTCGACTGTTATCTCGGTATAACACCGACTAAAACAATACTGTCTTTAGTACAAAGTGGTTTCAGTACAAAGGACCCGAGAACTCCCAGGTAAGAAATTACCTCTGTCTCTCTATCATTTTATATGATGTACCATATGATTGAACTCGATGTTTTTATAAATATTGCTTCTATTTTTAATTGTAATGTATAATTTCGAGTAGAAAATATTCAAAGTGATTTCTCCTCCTTCATTTTAATTTAATAAAAAGAAATTGTTCCATGTTACTTATTAATTTATTATATCAATTAAACTTTTGGTTGGTTGTAGATGTTATCATTGTATAATAGAATCGCGTTTGATAACAACAGCGTTAAAGACTGGAAAACTGAGTACAAAGAAAACCAATGGAATAAGACGAATAAACTAAAAGTTTTCATAGTTCCATTTTCACACAACGATCCAGGTATTTAGAGAATTAGATCACATAAATTATAAACAAACTTTGCTGATTTCTTTTTACTTTTTTACTTTGTGTGTACTTGAAAGACCAGCTGGTTTCTTTGTAACGCCAGTTTCCTGATAGAGTGAACATAGCAACATACACAAAAATAGTACCAACTTACATTTATTGATTGTTTAATATTGCAGGTTGGATTTACACTTTCGAAAGATACTACGACACACGAACACATATGATATTTAGCAACATAGTTGACTTATTGCCCGAGGGCAAGGCTAGGAAGTTTCTGTGGTCTGAAATTAGCTTCCTCGCAATGTGGTGGGACACAGATGCAAATAATGACGAAAAGATGTTATTTCAAAAGTGAGAAAATATATTAAATGATAAGTAATCTTTGAACATCACATGTTGATATCGCACATTTTCGATAAGGTTGTATACTAGGTAGTCGTAGCGGTGAGGTGACCGCTTACACCACTACCTATATACGCCATCCGTGCAGTTACTAATTCTTGTGTCCAAATATTTGGGGTAGTTTTGACGTGACAACGTCTTATAAATTGGTTTGCCGGGTGACACTTCAAGAAACTGCGTTACGCTCCGCTCACGTTATGCGCTCACAATGAGAGCGAGTGAGAGGCACGCGTCCCTTCCAATCGGGCATGGTTAGCCCGCCTAAGAGCGAGAGAGACAGACATAGTCGTTGTCACGTAAAACTTTCGCCCGTATACCGACTTTACAGGCAACCAATTTTTTTTTTACAGTATAGGCGGCAAACGACCGGCGATGGTTACTGCTTTGAGTCCCTTTCCCAGAATCAGGGAAAATACTGCACGGAAGGCGTAGTGGTTTAAGCGGTCACCTCGCCGCTTCCTACTGCGTCGAGTGTTGTGGGTCCGATCCCCACATTGGACAACACTTTGTGCGATCCACAAATTGTTATCCTGAGCCTGGGTGTTCTTTGTGTTCGTTTACTGTATGTTTGTAAAGTCCCCACGACAGAGAATATATCCCTAATGCGGGAGTTTAAAAAAAAAGGAGAGTTGTCTCCACTAACCTCACTTTTTAATTTCCAGTCTTTTAAAAGAAAAAAGAATAGAAATAGTGACTGGTGGCTGGGTCATGAACGATGAGGCCAATACACACTGGCTTTCAACCGTCCAGCAGCTCACTGCAGGTCATCAATGGTGCATAGAAAAGTTAGGAATTGCACCCAAAAACTCATGGTCCATTGATCCCTTCGGCTACTCCAGCACTCAGCCTTATTTATTGAAGCTGGCTGGGTTTGATAACTCCGTCATTCAGCGAGTGCATTACAGAGTGAAGAAAGAATTTGCTTCTAATAAGCAGTTAGAGTTCAGATGGCGGCAATTGTGGGGTATGTGTTTTATGTATATGTTTACTTATTCACCACTCAAAAACCACTTTATTTTTGAATTGTTGCGTTCTTCAAAGATGATCACTGGTCAATGTATTTCAATGAACTGTATACTCGTAGTACCATTCCGCAGTCAGGTTCTCTTTGTTTATAGTGGTCATGGACAAAGAAAGACTCATATCCGAATGAGACAGCTATGCTGTCCAGTTCGTTTATGGTTGTAAAGTATACATAAAACTATATCTCTTGCTTTTTTTTATTTCAGACGGTGTAGGCGAAACGGATATGTTCACACATTTATTTCCTTTTGTCTCCTATAATGTAATGTATTCTTGCGGCCCTGATCCCAAAGTAAGCTTTAAATCTTCTAGAAATCGTCTAGCGGTTCAATTTCAACCGTTTTAAATGCCTTGTTTTATTTCACCGACTAATATAACTTGAAATGTAATGTGCCTATCGACTTTAGTGCCATGAAAGATCAAAACATATAGTGAACGCTTATAGCTTTATGTAGCCGTTTATTTATTTTTTTCATTTTAATGCAAGCCTTATTTACGAATGTGATGACAAATTTCGTGTTTTTCTAGATATGCTGTCAATTTGATTTCGGTAGCCACTCAGTTTCATGTTTACCTCAGAAAATAACTGAAAATAACGTTCGAGAAAGGTGAGTAACACTAAACCTAGTACCTAAACATAGGAAATTTAAACCGAATAAAATCATCGTTGGGCCAAGCTGGAGAATTAACAAGAATACCTACCTAACGATGATGTGACCCACATAGTCTTTTCTTAAAAAAGATCGCCAGTTTTCACAAATTTTCATTATTACTAAGTATGTGACCTATATTTTGATATAACACATAATGATTAACTTACTTTTCACCATATTATTGCACGTAGCTTGTAAAAATTCTTTAAGTGTTGATGTTAATTTCAGAGCATCGCTCATTCTAGACCAATGGCGTAAAAAGGCTCAACTTTACCGAAGCAACATCGTTCTATTTCCTTTAGGTGACGACTTTAGATATGGGGATTATCTAGAATGGGATAAGCAGTTTCAAAACTATGATATGCTTATTGAATACATAAATAATAAAGAAGAGTTGAACGCTGAGGTAAGGATATTATGAGAAACGGTTATTCAAAACTAAATCTGTTAATCGTGTCAAAGTGAATCTTCTATGAGCAAAAAAGTTTGGTTAAAAAATACGAAAACTATTACAAATTGATTAGTACAAGATCGTTGCGCTAGGTATGAGTATAGTGCCACTATATCCATCCGATGAATACGCTGAATATTGGAGGCTAATATAAGTAGTGTTGCCCAAAGCTGTTCTCAGTATCAATACTGAGATCAATCTCTTTGTTGTGTTCTTGCATCTTTACAAAACTTAGACCATGGTTAATGGTAATGTATCTAATAAATAGCAATAGCCTAATAGGTAATTGCAAGACTAAGAGACTCTTACTGCAAGACCGCCATCAAAACTGAGAGCTAGGATACAAAGGACGACATATTATGTCTATTCCAAAGTTATTTTACCGTTTTGGGGATGGAATCACTTTGGAATTGGTTACTTTAACCATTACGTCATTTGTGCAGTCATAGCTTACCTGTTCTCTTCCTATCTCTTTACTTCTGACTTGCGAGCTGAAATATCTTAATCTTGCTATACTTAGGTACAGTTTGGCAATCTGGATGATTACTTCAAGGCGCTTCATTCCGAAATGAACTTGTCAGACTTCCCAGTACTGTCCGGCGATTTCTTCACATATGCGGATGAACCATTACAATACTGGAGCGGATACTTCACGTCCAGGCCCTTCTATAAAAATATGGATCGGGTTTTACTAGCGCATGTCAGGTTAGGAGATATCCACAGAATTTATATTTTATAAAATGCTATATAGACTATTTCGTAGTCTTACTTGTCAGACTATACAAGGATTAATCTTACTAATGTATAATAAAACTTACTTTCGTTTATAATGTTTTCACGATAATCTTTAGATCACAGAAAAAGGTGGAGGATATATTCTTCTAAAATTTTGGAAAACTATCATTTGATACCTAATAAAATTTATTTGTTAATATAAAATTGTGTGAAACACAATTCTTTACTTTAGATACTGATTGTTTCTAGGGCGGCAGAAACAATAAGTTCTCAAGTGATGTCTTCGTATTGTTTGTCCAACATGATGTCGCTCCAATTGAGGGACCGTGTGGAAAAGGCCAGGCGATCATTGGCATTATTTCAACACCACGACGCAATAAGTGGCACATCTAGAGCTAAAGTCGTCAAAGATTATGCTAAGAAGTAAGGATAACATCAGATAGATTCAATACGCATGCTAAATTAGAATGATGATGATATTGCTCTTAGTTTTTACATAAACTAAGAGCAATATCTTCAGTACTCATATAGATTTCTCGACGTAGGATATTAGAAATATTTTCATAGCTACCCATGATAAGGCATCAGGACGACCCTAGCGGCTTATGGCGAATTCAAATTGACTTTGACACAGGGCCATCCATTTCATCTATTTAGTAATGTTTAATAATTCATAATATCTCGATTTTTTTTAACCATGAAGATTATTTGTTGCTCTAATATACAATGCACATTATGATCATTCCTTGTAGAATGCGAAGCGCAATAGAAAACTGTGAGTCCGTCATACAGCAAGCGGCTTACTATCTTCTCGCAAAGCCTTCGAACATAGAAGAAACTCATAATATTTACTTCGATGACGTTTGGAGGCGATATAACGAGATTCCTTCCAGGATCACAATAACTTTCGACTACTTGTCACCGTCGAGAAAAATAGTGTTGTATAACTCTTTGCCGTTTACTAGACGTGAAGTATTGACCGTGTTCATCTCTTCACCGCATGTTGAGGTAAATGCATTGTGTTAGTATTTTGTTAATAGATAACAAAAACGCTTCTTCATTTAATGCTCATAGAGAGCAGCAGGTTCGGGAATAATTCTGAACCTGATTTTTTATCATGCTGCGAACACGTGTCTCGATTGTTCTGAATGTTCTGAATATGTATACTTATTATCCCCTGCTTCTTTCAGGTATTCGATCCTGCAGGTAAGCCGGTGATGACACAAATATCTCCAGCGGTTGTGGGCAATCAAAGGCTTACGTTCGCAGACTATAAGTATCAGCTTTCATTTCCTGTAGTTGTTAACACTTTGGCGTTAACAACGTACACAGTGGCATTGCGCAGCAGCAATAGCATAAATAAGTAAATAAACATATCTACTTACATGATGCGTATTTAATATCTATTCCGGCCGGTATTAAGCTAAGGGTCCAGATGAGTTCTCTTCGAAGGCAATCAAGAAGTTGCAACTATATGTACTTGAATATTCTTTAATAATGGTATTATTGGTGCAAACATGATGCAAAAGATACTTTTTCTGTTGAGCTCCTACTTTACAATAAGTAGGTACATTATACATTTCTCAAAAATTTAATTCTTAGTAAGTAATCCCATTCTCATCACTTTTGGTGTTTTAATTATACTTTTAGTTTCAATTTTTTTGCGTTTCACTTGTTTTACAATACAATGTGTTAATATTGGAGGTGATAATTTAGGTACCATTTTAAATATTAGTGGTACAAACGTTGTTTCGTTCTCCACAGGTACGTTTCTTATTCTCGCGTAAGAGTGTACAACCATAATACAGTCAAGCTACCAAAATTGTTCCGGGTGAAGCAATCATCAGCAAAACTAATGGAGGATATCAATATACAAATTAGGAACAGCACACAGGTAGTCGCCTCTGTGAATGGACTGATTAAGACTATCGTTTCTCCGGATGGTACAGTCGTCCCCGTAAATATGGATTTTGTAATGTGAGTACCTACACCTACAGCCTATGTTCAAACAAAGCAGGCTATGTTCAGTTTTCTATTGGTAAATGAATTTTTAAATTTAGTTTAGTGGTTTAGGGGTGATAGGGGTGGTTAGGGCCACCAACTTCGCACTACTGCGACGACCGCAGCGATTTTTGGCCATCAGAGTAATAAGGGAGTACCGCACGATCTCCTTCGAGGCGGCGAGTCTCACCGTGCGTGTTTTTTAGGATTGATATTTATAATCAGGCTATTAATAACAAGTGACCTATTACTCAGCAAGTATATATGTATGTGTATCTCAGTATGTATGTATGTATATCTATCTCACTGTTTCGGTCCATCATATCCTTAATTATTATTATCTTGTTACATATAAAACTTAATTTCTAGTGCAATAGCACCTACTCAGACATTTCCTGACCACCCAAAGGTAGACTGGGAGAAAATGCCTGTGGCATTAAGTCCGTCATTGTACAATGAATTGTTGTTGCTGCAAAAAGAATTAAATAAATAAATAAATAAAATTATCTCGTAAGATGAATCGGCGTGTATGATATATATGCTGATATATATGTGTGTGTGTTTATAATATTTATATATTTTAGTTATCTATCAATTAATAAATCCTTTAAAAAATCCTTTCGATCAAGTGATCATTGCAAAAGACATCACAAGGACACCACATCCTAAGTGGAGGACCTCACGGGGGTAAATCAACTCGTAGCAGTTATCGGTGCGGGATGCATTCACTGGACACCATGGTTTTTTCAAAGTCCTGTCTGAAAGTGCTTGTGATTCCACCTTCACAGACGAATGATGAATTAGTGGGGGAAATGTAAAGAGAAAGAATTGTACTCGACCATCCCGCAGGAAACCCCTAATAATTTCCGGCTTACATGAGCTCTGACTTAAGAGCAGGGAGTACGTCAGCAGTGGTGTGACGCATCTCGCCCAACGTCTCTCTAGGTATATCGAAAGGGCCAAGGTCTCTCACACTAATCGATGCCAACTGACATTCTGACAGGCAGCTAAAGTTAATCGGGGATTGAGTACTAATCCTTTTAGTATAGCATATACCTTCATACCGTAATACCTTCTCTCTCATGTAAAGACTATTATGACGTAAGGGAGTCGCATGTTTTAATCGGTTTGAGTCTGCCATTACCGCGTCATCGGGCTATCAGTGACGGGTGTGACCATATACATACATGCTGTAAACATATATACCATACCAAGAAAAACCTACTTAGTATATTGTTGGTTGAGAATTTTATTGGCACTAACGGTCTTGCAAGATAGAAAAAGAAAGAAAGAAAAATATTTTAATTGGCACATTTTACAGGATTGTTACATATTTACAACAGAAACATGTATAAAATACATCTGTACGGCTGACCACGGCTCAGCATAATGCTAGGCACAATGCACCTAGCGCTGGTTTTCAGCGCAGCCCAAGGGTGTTGTCCGCGTGTCTGTTCGATAGTGTAAATATTCGATCATTATGATAGTTTAGTATAGTAGGTTATAAAGAAAAAATGGTTTGAGAATATTCTGAGAACGATAGTCATTGCATAATAACTTGATTGATAGGAAAACATTTAAATAGAATGAGTACTAATTGGATAACAATTTGATTGAATTAAGACATTATGACTACGGTAGTAAAGATATACCTAATAATTTGCAGTAAATAATAAAATAAGGTGAGATATGGCACAGCACGGCATCCAAAGTCATGGCACGCACTCCATTTTATATCGCGCTAAGAGTATTCTGACGTCTTCGAAATCCTTCTGTTGCTCCAGTAAAAATTCCTTCAATTTCGTTTTGAAAGAATACGCACGCAGGTCTTCTTTTAATGGGAGAAGGGATATTATTTCAGCATTTCGACGCAGAGTACCGCACCGAGTAGCGAGCACTCTCTACTCATGTTTTGGTTTTGCCTAGTTGTCCACTTCAACTTGTAAAATAAATAGGACGGAGTACGGAAGTTAATTACGCCAAATAGGAGACTTGCCATATGAAGCAAAATGTTGCGCTTATTAAAAAAAGGGGTGACATGACCCCTTTTGGGTACGGTAAAACAGGACCTGGCACAAGCGTTTTGAAGTCTTACAAAGACTTCAAAACGCTTGTGCCAGGTCCTGTTTCTTAATCTGAAGGTCAGGCGTTCTGTTCTAGAAATAAGTCGAGGACCGTATACAGTGTCTGCATAATTTAGTCGAGATAAAACGAGGCTCTTCACCAAAACTATTCGCGGCTCTTCACTTATAAATCGCCGCGCTTTGTACAAGACCTTTAGTTTATAAAAAACAATCACGAACAGCTTTCGAGATGTGGTTCTCAAACCTCAAATCAGCGTCCATTATTATCCCCAAGATGCGAATTGGCACGCCCATTACTTTAACAGGACGTGTTTTATGTGGGATGGCACCCAGCTGGGATTTGGTGCAAAACAGCATATAAATTGTTTTTAGAGGATTGAGAACGAGAGAATTGCGAGCAGACCAATCAACAATTCTATTTAGATCTTCGTTTAGCTTTTGAAGTGCTCTTTCGTAGTTCGGGGGTTTGAACGATATATGGACCTGTGTATCATCTGCATACATATGGTACTTGGAATGATGCAGCTGCCCAGCCACATCGGAACAGTAGGTACATAATAAATAAAATACATAGCCATAATTTCAGACGCAAGGAGTCACCTATTCATCCTATCATTGCCTTTAAGATGTGAAGTCCATAACGTAACTATATTATGCGAATGTTATGTACCTATATTACATAACCCATATAAAAAGTTCATTTTTTTGGAATAACAAACAATAGTAAGTAGGTATGGTTTACCACGAATGAGTGTTATTGTTGTGTAAATAGCATGGTAAATACGTATCATTGACGCGCGGAGACGCCGCAAGTGACAGTAATTGACATTTCATATTCACAGATAAGGGAGGAAACATGTTACAAAATCGTGATGCGATGTAACATGTCGACATCTGTCGTACACCTACCAAATTACGAAATCGCGATGCTTTCACCTTTGCAATTTCTGAAAACGGCTGACTGTGAGCTGCAGAAGTCTGGTTTGGAATTTATAAGTTCACTTGTAGTGTGGGCCTGTGGGACGCCTTTTTCTTACAAATCGACAGTGAGCCAACCAGGATTTCGTATGCCGCTTTGTGGAGCAAGTTTTTTATTTTCAACTATACTATAACCGCCGGTTCCCCATCGTCGAATTAGATCCAAATGGTGGTGATCTTTCACCTTACTTAAAACATTTTTTACAATTGCAATTATTAATTACAATTATTTTTTTATTTATCCAAAAAAAGTATTATTTCCTAATGAAAGTTAACTGTGAAAGTAACCTTGTTATCGGATAAATATTACATAGAATTACAAACTATTACTTACAAATATATATACCTATTATTATAATATGCAAGTTCCTATGTTCTTACAGAAAACAGCCTTGGCTTAAAATCTAACTACTAATTTTATTTAATACTGTTTAATACTAGAAGATTGTGTATCTACTACATTTATTTTGACTTGATATCCTAGTTCTCAAAACAAGAGGATTACATTAAATATAATTTGAACATACACAAAAGTAACAGCGAGTCACAAGGTCCTTCATAGCTTCTAGAAATGATGTTAAGCTTTGCCTTCGTTTGCTTGACTTAGTAAGTCATGCCCTCAAATATTTCTAATTATTGCTTTGTTGTCAGCTACGACAGCCAGCGTGGTGACGGCAAAAACAGTGGCGCCTACCTGTTCATGCCTTCAGGTCCCGCACAACCGTTCGACCCAGAACCCTTCCCTCAAATCTTTGTTATCGAAGGAATTTATGAGTCAACAATTTATACCGCATTAGCATCGCCCGAGTTAGCTGAAGTCACAGTTGCGGTTAGTTATTTCATGTCATTGTCAACTTATTCTGTTGAATAACCTACCAATTAGCATTTACCACAGAATTCAGATTAAGAATACAAATAAAAATCATAGTATTCTTTATACATACAAATTATTATCTATCTATACATGTAAAAATGTTACATTAGTTTGTGTACGCTTCAAGAACTCAAAATGCTCTGCAGCGCTTTGAAAATGGTTAGTCAGCTAGTTAGATTGTGCGGTCCATAGCCCTTTATGGGGGCCCAGTATGGCCAGCAATGTCGCTCTAGTGCTGGCCATCACTGTCATAAGGGTGTACCGCACGATCTCCTATGAGGCGGCGAGTCTCCTGGCTGGAACTCCACCGAGGGACCTGGAGGCGAGAGCCCTTGCGGCTTTGTATCGGTGGCGCAAGGAAGCGCGGGAGTTGGGTCTGAGTTCAGAGACTCGAGAAATCGAGGATCAGAAATCCCAACTTTGCCAGGTCCTCGTAGAGGAGTGGAAGGAATGACTAGGGCAACCGAGCGCCGGGCACGCTGTTTTGGAGGATTGGCTCGAGAGGCGTCACGGAACCCTCTCATACCGGCTGACGCAGGTGATCACCGGGAAAGGTTGTTTCGGAAATCACCTGTGTCTGATCCGCAAGGAGCCAACGCCTGAGTGCCACCACTGCGACGGCCGGACGGTGTGACCTTGTGGTGGCCATCGGAGTGGGAGTCCTCGCACTCGGTAGTATGATTGCCGCCAAGGTACGGAGCGAGAGTGCGTGGAACTCCGCCGTTTCCTCGAGCAAGTTATGCTTGTGAAGGAGATGGCGGAGCGGGACCGAGGGAGGTTTAGAACTCTCGCGGACCGCCAGGCCCGGGAATGGGCCAGGTACGTCACAGGCCGTCCTTCATAAGCGCAGGCCTGAGGGTAACAGGTGAGGCCATCTGTCACCCTAGCAGAAGCAGGCCGGAGTTGCGGCGAGACGCACTGCCCAGCGAACGCGCCCACCGGGGGGTGATATCCGAGGAGATTTCCACACAGGAAAAAATATACTTAATAGTGTCGATGCGTTACACATGCGCAACGTGTAGGATTAAAAGAGGTCATACGTCGCGGTATGTCGTACGCTTATCTCAATATCTCCTTTTGCAAGGTAGATGCGTCTTCTGCAACTGAATTTTATCGTGTACTTTAAATGACCTGTATCAGCTTTATAGGTACACTTTATTCACACATCACTGCACGTGAATAATTGCTAGAGTGCTACAATGGAGTATCTATAAGTGACTATGTTCGTGGTTATAGCTATAACAGTACTTATGTATGTAGAGTATGTTAGTATGTCTAGAAGTAGTACTACTTCGGTATAGCAAGCGTCTCATTGTAGTTCTTATTACCTATATATAAAAAATCTTATTATCTTATCTTAATCTTATCTTATTAACGCTTATTTTGAGTGGTACATAAAACATTTCATTTAAGCGCAATGTATATTACTTTTGCAGATCAGCCTTATCAACAATCCGTCTCTTCAACAAAGCGAGGTGAAGGTCGTGAACACTTTATTCATAGATCCTGAAGTTCAAAACTTGGAATTCGCCATGAGGTTTTCCACTAACATCAATAATAAGAACGTCTTTTATACTGACGTTAATGGAATGCAGGTGTGCACTATAGTTTTATTTTGTCCTACTTTCTTTACCTCGTTTTTAATTTGCTGATGATAATATGTTAGGTTTTCCATGTGGTGACGGATTGTTACCAGCCCTATTCATCGTGGCTGTCGTAAGAGCCGACTAAGGGAGAAAACTACTACAGGACAACAGCAATGCAAAGAGAAGAAAAACTTGAAATAAAGCCTATACCAATCGGTCTGACCAGCGTTGTATAGTAGGCCAAAACCTCCTTTCTAAGGAGCGGCCTATGTCCTGCACTGGAATACTAAAGGCCGTTGATGATGTCAGGTTATCAACAAGCCCATATTAATAAAGTAATACAAAATTGACAACAATTAAAAAGTAATTCTTTCTTGACACAAGTACTCAGAACTTATTCTCGTCAGCCAGTCAAAAATAATATCTATAATGTGATCATGTTTTATCCACTATATTCTATACAATTATTTAGGAATTCGTTATTAATATGTATATTTTAGATTAAAGATGTCATTTCATGCTGCATATTATATTGATAAATATCTGTACTCGTATATGCAACCTGAAATAAATTATTTATTAATAATAGAATAATAATTTACACAGATGACGAAACGTCGTTACTTCGACAAGCTGCCGCTCCAAGCGAACTACTACCCGCTGCCGGCGGCCGCGTACATCGAGGACGACTACCTTAGATTTACGCTACTTACATCTACACCACTCGGGGTAGCAGCCCTGCAACCTGGACAGATCGAGGTAAGGGAGAGTTTTTACTACACCTATCTATACTTTCTCATGTGATCCAAAAATTCCTGAGCGTCTTTACATTAACATCTCGTCACGAACATGATTCCATATGCGATACATGAAACTAACTTATCAAAGTTATTAACTTCCTTGTCTAATCTATGTAAATTGTGACACAGATTAAACGAAGAAGTTATTTAAGGTAATGGATAGATAGAAAACTGTACTATTTTTACCATTTAACATGAGTACATGTACGAGTACAAAGGGCGGCCTTATTGCTAAGAGCAATCTCTTTCAGACAGCCTCTCTTTTAGAATGGATCAAAATGTAATATTGTCTGATTGGACAAAATGTCCTGTTCTGATATTTAGCTCTTACCGATTCTTTTCTTCTTCTAATTTTTTACTTCTTGGCCACCTTTGACTGACTCCATTATTATTACAAACTTAATCTTTAAAGTCAATATAGTTGCCAAGTTGCGCAATTATTTCAGGTGATGCAAGATAGAAGGACAAGCATCGATGATTCAAGAGGTTTAGGGCAAGCGGTACGGGACAACGTAAGAACGCGGCATACCTTCAAACTCATAATTGAGAACGCCAATAACCCATGCCCGGTATGTACAATACTCAGAGTTGTTTTTTTTTAATTTAATTACATTTTCAGTTAGGTTTTTCAAACTTTTTGGGAAGTTCAAGTTTTTAGAAGTTCAGTGTGTTTAAAGCTCAGCTGTAGATGATATAGTTCACATTAATTTATCTAGCAGGTATATAAAAATGCTGCTAATCATTCCAAGTAGTATTGTCTTTTTTTGCGAAATTTTGACGGGAAGAATGTGGTGTAAGAGGTTATACTAAAATCATTAGAGATCGTGTTCACGTGTTAAATTAGTAGCATCTTGTTAGTATATTAATATAAAATCTAACACACCATAGAGTAGGTAATGAATGTTTTATGTTATTCAAAAGATCTCTATAAGTAACAAGAAGTTAGCTCTCTAGAGAGAAGCCTAATTGTGTCATATCATCACACATCACATCAACAGCCTTTAATAGTCCACTGCTGGAAATGGGTCTCTCCATAGAAAGAAGGTTTTGGCCTACTGTACCACGCTGGCTAGACGGGTTGGTTGGTTTCAAGTTTACATACTGTTTGCTGTGCTGTTGTCCTGCGTAGTTTGCTCCCTTAGTCGGCTCTTACGACACCCATGGGATAAATAGGGGTGGTGACAATGCGTATTCTTAATCCGTCACCACACGGACACATTAAAAAACTCATAATTGTATTACATTTCATTGAATTAGCCTATATATATTGTTAGCTCAAAATCCCTGCGGAGCACCCGAGTGGGCAACTCACGTTGGGCGCGCACGTGTCGCAACAGTTAATGCTACAGCCGCTCGTCACCATGCACTACACGGAGCAAGATGTGCCGCTGTCCAGTGGGTACTCGCGCATCACACTCAATGCCGCAGATCTTGTGCTAGCTGCTTACCGGACTGATGTAATTACCAAGGTAATGTGTATTTTGTAACCATTTTTGTAATGGATAGGGGTGGCAAACGAGCAGCTGGGTCACCTGATGGCAAGTGACTAATGCCGCCCGTTGACACCTGCAACTCTGGAGTCACGTTTAGCGCCAGAAAGATTGAAATATGACGTTACGTTTTAATATTAGTAAGAATGGGAATAATTTTCCCGCTACTGGCAACGATGAGGGCGATATTGATTGGAGCTGCAAACTAAAAAACTTAATTATAATATCTATAAGTCCAGTCGAGTTATTTAGTTAATTATTCTTTTTTTGTTAAATTACTAATGCAATAAGCTAAAAAGCTTACCAATTAACTGTTTGTTTATGATAGGTATAACTAATTTATAAATTATATTATATATATAGGGCATAACTAATTTATAATTATACATCCATATTTCCATACTTATAAATGTGAAAGCGAATTTGTTTGTTACGCTTTCACGCCTAAACCAGTGAAGCGATTTTAAAAATTCTTTCACCAACGGAAAGTTACTTTTTACCGCGATAACCGACATACATGCGAGCGGAGTCACGGACAAAAGCTAGTTTGAAATAAAATCTTGCGCATGTCTGCTTGTCTTAAAATTTGTTTATAAAATGAAACATTTAATGAGACATATTTTATTTATGTATACAGAGCAAAGACGGTGCTAGAATTCACGGCATGGGGATGACATTCCAACGAGTGTACCTGGAACCGTGTTACGGCAATAAAGATATCAGCAAGTGGTATCCACTCTCCGATGGCCAGGTCAGCTATATTCGATCTTGTTTGTTTGTGAAATATAGTGCAATCACATTTAATATCGATTGACATTACTTATGAAACTAAGTACCAACTCAGTCAATCTTCAAAAAGTCGACGGTCTAGTGTTGGTGGACCTTGAACATATTTATCACCAGTCTGGTTACCATAGCACAGGCCCTGCCTAGTTTGGTATCGGATGCCGTGTGTGAGACGTGTGAAGTAAAAAAAAAACATATAGGAATGAAGTAAATTAGTAAATAATTTAAATAAAATAATAATTAAATAGAAGTTATTTATATTTTTGTAACCCCCTTTTAAATAATAGGTCTTTACGTGCAAGGTCTGGTGAGTATGGCGGATGAGGGAGAGCTTCCAACCCCAGCTCTTGCAGCTTAGAGACTGTCTGTTGCTCAGTATGGGGTTGCGCGTTGTCGTGAAGGAGCTGTGGGGACGACCGATTGACCAAAGCTGGTTGCAGACCAGACCTTGCACCTACCGACTATTACCTTTTCCAAAATTTAGACAACTTTTTAGTGGGTAAAAAATTCAATTCCCGAGAGGCAGTACAAAATGCCTTTGAAGAGTTTGTTGCCTCCCGTCCAGCTGATTTTTACAAGAAGGGCATCAGTAAACTGCCAATGCGTTGGCAAAGATGCGTCGATTGCATGGGTGATTACTTCGAATAACAGAAATAAAAAAGTTTGAAAAAATAAGTACTTTCACGTATTGCATACAAAACGGCAATTTAATATCTTGATTTTGATACCCTACTTGGTAGGTTTGGTTTTTTTTTCATTAACCTATTACTATTTTTCGCCATTTAGTTTTTTCTTTCAAAAAGAAATTCAAGGACAGTTGGGTTTTGAGATCGATAAACCAATACCTTAACTGTCGAAATCCATTCAGCCGTTTGGAAGATACGAGGTAATAAAGATATTTACAAACAAACTACTAAACAAAAATTATAATAATTTATAATATTTCAGACATCTAACACACAACGCCATCTAGTTTCAAACTAAGCCGAGCATGTACTATGAAAGCTAGATTGACTGATAGAATACTTATATACATTTTTATTATAGACATTTTTGTAAATACATACATATTATATAGAATATTATTGTAAATATTATATATAGAAAATATCCAAACTCAATTACATACAAACATTTGTTCCGACCCGGGAATCGAACCCGTGACCTCAGCACAGCAGTCCACTGCACCACCGAGGCGGTTCTTTCTAGAATACCGTTAAAATCGTATTAAGTGAGAATCTGATCTTAATATAAGTATTTTGATTACAGTTTCAAATAAGGCAACTGGTCGACGTGCCCAGCTATAGTGTACATGAAAGCACTCTTACATTCGTCAGTCTCAAGAACCAGCTGCCTAATGGTGTGATTACTCTGTGCCCTCAGGAAGTAAGATCGGTGTTCATCAATGACACTTTCAACTCCTGCTAGATTATCGATACCTACTTAATATGCCAAGCTTTAAATATAAGACTCTGTAGGATTTATTTTTAAGTTTGAACAGTCTCCTATTTCCTTTCCTGTACGAAAACGTTTTTCATGCAAAATTTCCGCATGGTTAGTCAAGCAATTAAGCCCCAAAAGTGTAGCAAACAAACAAACAAAACCACACTCCCATTTGACATTAGAATATTTCTTATTTGACTAAAATATCTACGCCTAGGAACTGAAGTCATTCACACTTATTTGTTATTTACCGGATTTTCTGCCCTTACATTAGTCGTGAATTGGCTTCATTTCATTTTCAGCATCTAGTAAAAATATTGTTTTTAATAAATTTATCTTTCTTGCTATCAAATGTTGGGTCAATACCAAAGAATTGAAATGTTTTGAAAATGGGTAATGTTTCATATCTACTGCAGTCAGTTCAAAGTTGAATACTTTTGAAGAACATTTGTCAAGAGCATTGGTTAAAGTAATATTGATAAGGAAAGTATATCGTTCTTAAGAGAAACATAGACGTAATATGTGAATAAATATGTGATATCTATGGTATCAACTTTTATTTTTACCGATTCACCTCCTATCTAATTTATAGAATCCAAATATAGGTATACATAAGACACAAAAGATTAAAAAGTCCTTTTAGTGTTTAAAATAAAAATCGTTCTAAATAAAATGATAGCAGTTTTCTTAAAGATTATTCAGTTAGGATAACAAGTATGTAAGAAAATATAATATACGATAATTATAAGATACGAAATAACTGAATATTTACCTATCTGTAATTATGTCTGTCTTCTGAATAGCTTGCTTTTGTACATGACAAGAGGATTTATTCTATGGGATGTACAACTTAGGCGTTCACGCGAATCAGTAGCGCTATTGTTTTAGTTTCTACGTGGCTACGAGAAATAAAAACCTTCTGGATGACGTTTAAGCAGATTTTTGCATCAGCAAGCGACTTGGTCATCAAAGAATTGGTTCAAATAGTTAATTACTACCTGGATTTGAAACAAGTCTTCCTCATTCTGATTATGTAGCAAGCTATACAGTGAGATTTGATGTGTTAAATCTATTTATGCATTACAATAAATACGTACTAACATATGTTGCACCTAGTTACTATAAAGACGAAAACAGACCTACTATGAGTGACGTTGTGGTACACAGTATATTTAAATAATAAGCTTACTGATTTCCACATTCAGTTTTTAACATTTTCATTTATAAGAATTGTGACAATGACAATTATTAAAGAAATAAACTGTTAAAACTGTATGGAACGAATATACGACATGAATACATACAGCTACTGTATATTTGCTGAAACATGTAAGGGATGCAGTCTCCTAGCAGGCGTTCTAGAACTCTACGGTGCGTAAATAATGCTCTGATATTGTTTAAATATTCATTTGGAAAATAAATCCTCCAACAACACTACAAGTTTCGAACATCAACACAATTGTGTTGATATTCGAAGTCAACATTGTACTCGCACAATACGAGTACAATATAGGTACTTACTGTAGTACATACGTGTAGGTACCTAATAGTTATACCTACATGTACTGATATCGGTGTGAAAATAAAAGATGTTTTTAAATTTCTACCTTTGTAATTTGGTAAATACAAAAGCGATGAGTACTTGAGTTAAAAAAAAACACGTACTTTGCGTTTCAGCAAGATAATCTAGAGAACCACCTATCAAGCCAATCCGGGACCCACCTCTTAACCGCTTAAAAAAGTGGGCATAAAATATTGGTATCTACTTTTTTTTCATTTGACATTGATTTGTTATCATCACAGACAACATATACATTGTAATTTAGTAACTTTAGTTAGCTCATAAACAATGAAAATGTAAGCGTCACCAATATGGATGAAGGACTTCAGATATTAGGTCTTTACCTATGAAATTGCCGTTTTGTATGCAATAAGTGAAAGTACTTATTTTTTTAAAACTTTTTTATTTCTGTTATTCGAAGTAATCACCCATGCAATCGACGCATCTTTGACAACGCATTGGCAGTTTATTGATGCCCTTCTTGTAAAAATCAGCTGGACGGGAGGCAACAAACTCTTCAAAGGCATTTTGTACTGCCTCTCGGGAATTGAATTTTTTACCCACTAAAAAGTTGTCTAAATTTTGGAAAAAGTAATAGTCGGTAGGTGCAAGGTCTGGTGAGGATGGCGGATGAGGGAGAGCTTAAAAACCCCAGCTCTTGCAGCTTGGAGACTGTCTGTTGCGTTGAAAGTAGCAGTGGGGACGACCGATTGACCAAAGCTGGTTGCAGATGTGACCACCAGACCAGATAGATGGGACTCTTCCCTTATTCAGGAACAATGGCAGAAACATATTTACCTAAAACTGAAGCGTTTAAAAAAATGACTAACAGTAAACTTACTAAATATTTTTTCTATGGTTTATCATTATATGCCGCCATGTGTTGTATAAGTCTAATAAGAGATTGGATATTTTTAAAGATTTTATTTGACCTAAGTACGTAATGACAGAATCGCCATCACGAACTGACTAGGGATGCGTGATGATATTATTATATTATGGAACGTTTTATCGATAATCGATATCTATCGAAGGTCCTATTCTATTATGATTAGGAATTTTGCTTCTGCCCACGGGTTTACTCATACGCTACCGCAACTAGTACTGTAGTGACTAAACCAACCTAATTAGAAATAATTCATTGATATAATACTTACATAGATGAGTAATTACCGCCTAAAATCGTTGCTACTGCACATATGTCCACAGGCATATGCGTAGCAAACGTCAATTCATTATTCAATGTGGCGTCAACCGAGTTGAACATAGCGACACATGACAGTAACAATCGCCAAAATGGCTAAATGCGTAGTGAAAGAATGCGATTCAAGGTCACAAAACATTAATAAATCATGCGGAATTACTTTACACGTGTAAGTTTATGGTTTTTGTATTGATAATATCGTAAATAAGGCTATAATAGAAATAAAACACTGATAATTGTAATTTAGAATCAGTGTTACCATTAAAAAATCATTTTGGTTTTCCCACATTAGTGGGAGAATTTATAATTTATGAAATAATATGCTTTATACTGTTTTTAAACATTTTGCCAATAATAATAAAATATAGGAAGAACGGTAGTTGTTAGGGCTGGACCGATCCCTTTTTTTAGGGACCCGTTGAACGTTGAAAAAAAACACGTCGAAAAAAGCGTAACCACTTTTGAACTTTGACGACGTAGCTTTGATACCACTAAACATTTGAAAGTAAACATATTTATGTCTCATTTACACGCGAGACAAGAACAATACCTGACTGACTTTTGTACAAAAAAATTAATTCATTGTTTTTCTTAATTTATTATCAATTTTAAATAATAATTGTACAAAATAATAATAATAAGATACAGAAGGCAGTCCTCCTTGACACGGCTCGTATAGTGAGGAGGTTCCTATCTTTGCAGTCCTAACCACTGGTGTCCTGGTACCTGTAACCGATGTCGGTGGTCTACTATTTTTTATATTTTTAAGTGTATTTTTATTTATTTTGTAATATATTTAAAAATGTAATTAATATGTATATATAAAATTTAATAAAGAGAATAATAATAAATGTTTATCATAAAAATAAAAATATAAAATAAAAAAGTAAATAAACATAAATAATTTTTTTTATAAAATTTTTTTTTTTTTTTTTTTTTTATTTGTTTTTTAAATTATAATAGAATTTGCAATACACCCTGGGGATTATTTATTATCAGTACAAGTTGATCATTCACTTTTATTATTGCTATTATTTTTACATACGTAAAAATAAGAGTGTATCATGAAAGTAAAATATCCACACAAACTTATAAAAAAGAGTCTAAAAGACAATTGTATACAAAACTGATGCTTCACAGCGCAGTTTGATTTTTACACTGAATATAAACCCTTTTAAACCAAATATTTCCAGTTATTTTATTATTTATACCTATTCTATTCAATTCGAAATATATTATTTAGAATATTTAAATTAATTTATTTTATTACAAAATTGTTTTAAAAAAAAATTGTTTCTTAGTTGTTATGGGTAAAATTTCATACGGTAGTCAACACTGGCCCACCATCGTAAAGTTATATCTTTGTCTTTGTCTAATCCGAGCGATGGTATTGTTCTTGTCTCGCGTGTAAGTGAGACATAAATATGTTTACTTTCAAATGTTTAGTGGTATCAAAGCTACGTCGTCAAAGTTCAAAAGTGGTTACACCTTTTTCGACGTGTGATAATGAGGTTTGCTTCTCTAGTGTTGTTTTAACTCAATGAAATAATTTAGAATATTTTTGACTCTTTTTGAAGATTTTTGCTACACCAAAATAAATAGAATATAGTTACGTTATTTTTCTACAGAAAAATACTAAAACAATATACTGCTTAGTGTGATGAGAAAAAAAAATTGTAGGTTGATAACGGCACATAAATAGACATACATCGAAATTTTTAAAATGTTAGCACTTACTAGTCTTGTCGTTTGACACTTACACGCATTACTTACATACCATTTCTCACAAGGCAATTTTATTGTAGTTTGTTTGGTTGTTTTACTTTTGTTTAGTATGAACCTCTCATATATGTTTATTTTAATTTTAATTACATATAGTGTTACTCTAATATGCATGATGTGATGCCTTAAAATGTTGTGCATTAATCTTAATATAATGGATGCATGCTTTAGATTTTAGTAAAGAATGTCACAACTACTGACTGTTGAATAACTAAATAAATAAATAAATGCTCCCACCTTGTGTAAATGTGTATTGAAGTACATTTATTCAAATTATTATTAATAATTTATGTATTTATAGCTAGTATTACACCTGCTATGTAAGCGAAGATTTTTTTTCTATTATTTACCAATACATGCCAAGCAAATACCCTTCCTTCCTTCACCCATTTAGAGAGTCGGCTAACACATTCTACAGCAAAATAGGGTTGCTTATAAGTAATAATTAAATAATATTTTCTAATAATATTTTCGAATAAATGACACACAACGCCATCTAGTTTCAAACAAAACATTGACAATATTTTAGTACTTAACCTCGAAACATTCAAAATCCAATATCTTTTTTCCTACACTTCTTTCGCTAGTAATTTTTTTATGAGAATGTTCAAGAATAAATTCTCAAGGGTTATAGGCATTTTTGATATTTAAACGCTGTCATTTCACTTCAAATAAAATTATGTATGGGGACCTGCCGTTGTCCTTTGAATTGCATACAAAACGGCAATTTCATAGGTAAAGACCTATTATTTGCTCCGTGGTTCAAATAAGAAAAGGAACTTTAATTTAGAAAAGACTTTTTCATACTTAAATACCTACATACAAAGACCGTTGTTTCAATAGGAAGGGTATATTTATTTCCTTTTTTTTTGTCAATACAGCTTTAGCATCGATTTCAATTCTAGTTACTTTTAGTCACAGTATGCCACTGTAACACACACTGTCATAGTTCTTCCACTGTAAACCTTTCTCTGTTATATAATTCCAAGACTAATTGGCTTTCAGAACAAGACATCTTCATGCGCGTCGTTTTGCCACATACATACAAAAACAAGTAGTTGAGATAGGCCCTGTGTGTCGGTAGACTCATCTTGTTGTAACGTATAATATTTGCTACAGACTACTCTCCGAATTAATTCGACTTCTGCCCGTTTAGCCATTTCGTCGATTTGTCAGTGGTATGCGCTCAATTTCCTTTACTTCTTTTGCTCCAAACATCGCTTCAACAGCAATCGATGGTAACACTAAGTCTTCTCCAATGGTGTGAGACTTCCTGCTCTAGCGACCCTTAAGCTAATGAGGGACAAGGCATACGAAGCACTTTCATTAATATTAATGAAATGTGAAACAATATTTTTTGACGATTTCATGTCCAACAATTTTCTTTGAAAAAATCTACTGACTTTATCACAAAATGTTAATACTTCGTTTCTATATAACGCGTCAATATATCATATATATATCATACTTCGGCGCATACTTTCGTTTACTAATATTTCGTAAAAAATCACGCATTGAGGACGCGGATCTATCGTATCATGATTCCCAGTGAATCCTAGTTTCAGATATTCAGGATCATATTTTCTTACAACTTTCCGTCGTTTCAATTCGTGTGAACTCATTGAGGGAGCTTGGAAGTCAGCTTCAGTGCCACTTTTGTCATTTATAAGAACATCTTCTGTCTTTTCATTACTTCTATTCACAATCGTAGTTCAAATCGCAGGCGTAGTTTTTGTTATTCGTTTCAACCACTTTTCCATTATTATCTTCAAGCTTTGATTGTTAAATATTGATTTTAAAATATTATAAGGGCGCACACTACGCAACGCAATAAAGAATGTCACAAAAACAAAAGACTTCCGACTGTGTTGTGAGCACGATCGGTCGGGTTATGCTGTTGCAGATGTGACCACCAGACCTTGCACCTACCGACTATTACTTTTTCCAAAATTTAGACAACTTTTTAGTGGGTAAAAAATTCAATTCCCGAGAGGCAGTACAAAATGCCTTTGAAGAGTTTGTTGCCTCCCGTCCAGCTGATTTTTACAAGAAAATCTATAAACTGCCAATGCGTTGGCAAAGATGCGTCGATTGCATGGGTGATTACTTCGAATAACAGATATAAAAGTTTGAGAAAATAAGTACTTTCACTTATTGCATACAAAACGGCAATTTCATAGGTAAAGACCTGATAATAACCTAAGCTTTTTTCAAGTTTCAATATCAAATAGTTCAATTTAGATTAATTTAAGCTATCACTTCTGTCGGGCTTCCTGAGACGCACACGTTTTTTTTCTGAAATAGAAAAGGTTATTTTTTCGATTACTGATATATTAAAGTGAAGGATAAACCTATAAAAAACCTGTCAGGTACGAGTCGAACTCGTGCGCCGAGGGTTCCGTACCAACCTAGATTTTACGTAGATTTTCGTGAAAATTTGTAAGTACCAAAATTTATCTTAATTTTCAACTTTTTTATTTTTTTGGAATTATTCCTTTATTTGTGCTGTAAGACGTTTCTTGTTGCCAAATTCCGTGATTCTAGGTCAACGGGAACTACCATATAGGTTTTCGACCCAAAAACTATAGGATACTTCCGGTTGATCTAAAATTGTCAAATTTTGGTTAAAAGAAGGGCTTAAAGCACAAGTAAGAGAAATTCAGAAATAAAAACTTGAAAATTAAGGTAAATTTTTATACTTACAAGTTTTCGCAAAATCGAAATTTGCCCTATCTTTTTACCGTTTTGACTCAGGACCTTGATTTTTATACACCTTAGCGACCATAGACTTCAGGTATAAATCGGTATAAATTTCAACTTGCTAGGTCTACCCGTTTCCGAAAATGGTGGTGACACACGGACAGAGGACAAAAAAGTGATCTTTTTAAGGGTTCATTTTTTACCTTTTAGGTACGGACCCTAATTATAAAAGTTAAAAAATTTTAAAATTTTAAAAGGCTGTTTAATCAGAAGTCCATTTTTTCTATATTTAAACAATTTGACCAAAAACTTTTGACAATAACTCCCTTTGTATTTAATATTTAGATTTTTCCTTTTAAAAGGGATATTTTTAACATTTATCATTCGATTTTTTTTTTTTTAACTCTAAAGGTATCTCCCTCTTAAAAAATTTTTGTTGTTTTGCTAAAACACGAGTTCTGTTAGTTTCAAAAACCAGACATTTCTAGAAAACCCTTTTCCCAAATAAAAATGTTTCATGCATAAAAGAGCTTGCAATGATTCACTCAGTGCTAATGCTCCCTTTTCCCTCTGAATGGAAGAGGGTTGGGAAAAGAAAAAGAAGTAGTGAAAAACCCCCCCGGGGCCCTCACCAACTGGGCGGGGTGCTCTGCGCCTAAAAAAGAAGGGTCCGTTACACTTTTTTAAACCCCAAAAGGAAGGAACCCCCGGGCCAGGGGAGGTGATCATCCCGGCGGCCCCTGTCCCCCTTTTTTGCCCCTAACCTCCCCCTTAAAATAGCTAATTTATGGTTGTGCCTAAATTTTTTAATTATTTCGTACTGAATTAAAATTTTATTATATAAGCGATATGAGAAAAATCTTTATTTTTATGTCGTTCTACAAAGTGGTACTCCAATATGGTGGTATTCTTGACTCACGGGTGGGTGTTGGTTTAAGCGGTCGCCACCCGCTTCCTCTACGCCGGGGTTTGGGGTTTAAACCCCCCCATGGACGACCTTTGTGTGATCCCCAAAATTGTTTTCTGATCTGGTTTCTTTGTGTCCCTTTCATGTAGTTTGTAAGTCCCCCCCGACACAGGATTTATTCCTAAAGCGGGGGTTTCTTTTTTAAAAAAAAAAAAAAAAAAAAAAATTCAGACGTACAAATACGGCAATGACTAAAATAATCTCTTCCGGCTACCCCAGAAGGATCAAAATTTTCAAAATTTTATACTTAATCCAAAAAAATTATTATTTAATTTTTCGAAAAAGGGGAAAAAAACCCACAAAAATTTGAGATTATGTCTTTTTTTTTGGGGAAAAATCTGTAGTATTTTCATGGGCATTGCGTTTTTTAAAAATGAATCAGACCTTTTTTCTTTCCTTATTATCAATCTTTTAAAAGGTTTTTTGCTATTTCGCTAGAGTTCTAGTTTTCTAGTAGTTACTCCATTATATTTTTACGTGTAAAGCATATAAATTTTTTTTATGCCAACATTGGATCACTGTTTGGACTGGGATGCAAGAAAAAAAAGACAAAAACGACAAGTACAACATAACAAAAACGGGGTAAAATTGGATAATTGTATTTGTTTAAATATGTAGATTTTTTAAATGTAAAACGAAAATAATTTATTTTTATCCGACCGATAATTAAATATTGTGAGTTATCATTTATCGATGTATATATGTAAGGTTGTATTGAGTACACGACAATATCTCGGCGAATTATTTTTAATGATAGTATTGTCGATATCGTCAGTGGCCAATAATTGTTTTTTGAAAATTTAATTTAACACCGGATAAGGTAATGCTATTCTTTCTTTTTTTGTACAAGTGCCGTCTATTAAATGTGACCGTTTTGTTGTATATTTTTAGTGTCACAACTAAGTATGAGGATCCGGCGATTATCGGCAGTATTTTGGGCAACGTGCACTTGTACCGTTTATTTAATACTTTACGTGGTAACTGACTTAAGTTTTAAACTGCCTAGCATTAAACCGTGCAATAGAAGAAAGTAGATAATGTAAGTTAATTTATTTTTAAGCAATGAATAATTGCTTTTGAATGTTTTTATAAATGCATAAACAGGTTTTTTATAAGATTTTTTTCTAGGTGCGTGGACACGATCCCGTAAGTTATAATATTAATATTAATTAGTTATTATAAATGCACTGTCACTTTCTTATTATTGCTTTACTTAAAACGTAATTTTATGACACTTGTTTCTTTAATAAATCTTGTTTATTTAAACATCACCTGAATAATTCTTAAAAAAAAATACTAAAGGAAATATGTAAGTATATTTTTAAATATACAAAGTTTCCAAAAGAATAAAACTTGATAAAATTAATATCATAGTTTATGAACTAAATTCTCAAATTTAGCAAAAGCTGTAAGTAATTTAACTACTGCTGAAAAGGTTTTAATTTTAATAATAATTTTCTCAGTAGCATAAATGTATGGATTTGAACAACATATTATTTAGTTGTATATAGTTAAGGGTATACTACCATAGGGAATATAATAGGAAATAAAAATTTCTAAGGGGTTTAAATTATGATTACATATATTCTAATAAATATTTGTTTGTATCACACGAAATAAGCAAGTTAAATGTTATTAATTACAATTATAACTTATTTTAAATCTCATTTTAAAATATTGATATTTACTTAAAGTACGTGAAAAACTCAGTACCAACAGTAGATATGTAAGCCATGAGCAGTGTACGGCACAAATGCAATGCTTTTGAGCACAAGGTTGGTGGTCTAAATTTATAAGCTCAGTGAAAGAGAACATAATAATATTACACTATAACTTTTAACAATTCTTTTCATGCCTTTCAAAAAATTATGAGACGTAAACCTATATTTCAGAATTATATTAATTTTAAATTATAAAAAAACTTTGGAATGGAAGTTGTATTTGCACATTGCAATACTTTATTTTGCAAATTACATAGTTAGTTGAACTACAGAAGTAGGTATATTCGAAATACTTTTATTTTAACTAGTTTGTTTTTAGCATATTGAAAAAGATATAATAAATTAAAGTAACATTCATTATTAATTAAATTTGTTGTTTTTTTATGCATGCTTGCTTTTTACTAAAATTCTTTTTAATGGAAAGTAACCAGACCTTTCAATACTCAACTAAGCTTGCAATCATAATGGTAGTATGTCAATACTCAATTATGATTTTTCTATACTATGGGTGCATTTGCTTCAGGTATGGGTATTCATCTATTGTATGGGAAAAACTCTTCTGTGTCTCTCTTTATCTGATGTGTGTGAGCACAGTTTACAGATTACCATATTTGGAATATAAGTCAGCAATTTTTTTTTAATCTTTTTTCTTGCTCCTTCTTTGTCCACAAATCTACTGTGTATACTATATTATTGTAATGTGTAACCGGTTTAGTGTACTATGGGTTTGTAAAAAGGTTATCTCGGAATTGACTTTCTTTTTCTTCTTTGTTTGTACTGTTAATATTTATATTTTAAAGGTTACTATTATGGGTATAACCAATACTATCACTATCACTTTTCTTATAAACAGGTTTTACATAGGTCTGAATAATAATTATTAAACATTTATTTCAGGCCAAATGGTCAGCATTTGAATCAAAGCTACGGCATATAGAAAGTGAACTGAACAGACATCATGATATGGTTGGTGAAATCAAATCTGCAGTTGACCAGATAGCAGAAAAGTCGCAAGAATACTATCCACCACAAAAAAGACCTAAAGATGTGTATAATGAAATACTCAAACCTCGAGAATTTAAGCCAGTTGCGGATGAACCACCCAAGATGCGCATACAATTTAATGAATCATCATGCCCTATACAAAAGCAAACTGTTCCCAAGACAGATATACAGGTAATTAAATGTTAATATTTTTTGTTATCTACACACACATTCTCAAGTTTACTTTTTAATTAAAGTAAACAAACACTGGCAGTTTAAAAAAAAATAGTGGCACTCCGGGAGTGCAGACCGAAGTGAAAACTTGAATTTTTTTGATTATAACAGGTTTTTTTTTGTTTTTGCGATTCAAAAAGTTCCGATATGAATATATGTATATCTATGTTGTACGTATACACATATACACAATATATGTTTATATTATCAATGTATTTCAACCCAAACTCAACTTTCGTGTAAATAGAGCTAATATATGTAGATACTTATATACAGAGGTGTCGGTAGCGGTAACAGGGTCGCGAGTAAAATGGTTTTTTCCCCATCTCAAAAATACATTCTTTCGTTTTATGTTAAAAAATGCACAACGCGCCTAAAGGAGTTTTCGTTTAAAAAATCTGATGATAACCAGATGTAGCAGGATTTTCCAATAAAATATTCGAACTCTCCGGTAACTTCACTCACTCGGTGAAAATTAATATAAGAATAAGTGGTTTTCTGTGAGGCCGTTTTATCACTTTGGTCGAGCCGGCCTGCATGGCTATCCCACAGCGTTTTATGTGTAACCATAGACATATTAACTTGGACCTTGTGCGTCTCTAATTTCAACTAGGTCAACTACAAATGAACAGAACAGCCTCAATTAAGATTATGATATCAGATAATTGGTTATTAAACAGAAATTTCACTACTACAGCAATAATCACCAATGAACTTTTTACGTTTATTAGGATTTTAGATTCCTTTTATATATACATTGCTAGTGTAGTAAATAGTACTAATATATTCCATGGGTGCTCTTTGTTATTTTGGTTGTTTATTTTGATCTAGAACCATATTGAGCAATAACATCTTATAATTAGTCTTATTATAATTACTAGAGGTTTATTTTAAAACTTAATTGCTTATATACTTGAGATGTTGGAGATTAGATTAGCTTAAAAAACATTTGAATTTGAAAAAAATATTAAGGCTAAATTCGCTTTGTTTACGTAAGACTATAGTTTGGATTAAATCAGTAACGCATCTTTTCCCCGTCGGACATGTTTGACTCGTTCCATTCGCTTCCATGGAAGGGTTTCCAGGTTGTTGGTACTACATACAGCCTTTTACAGGCTTGCAAAAGACACCATATCCAAACACTTAGAGGGTGGCATAAAATCCATTTATCACTGAATCAGGAAAAGCCCTTTACACGCTTGTGTCGTGTCAGCTTAATCGTCAAAGCCTTGAATGGATGCAAAAATATTATTATAGTTTGGGATTTACATCTCCATAATTGTGAATACAATATATTGGGGTAGAATAAGATAAAGGTGAAAAAAGAAGATATACGAGTATATACATATACATACATATATAGCACTAACAGTGTTCTTATCGCCACGTTATACAATGTGATTGAAACACAATTGATTGTAATATGAATTCTGAAAAATGAATGGAATTGCGCTTTCTTACTCCTACATTTTTTTGTTGTTGATGGTTAGCTGTAACATGTTGTTGTGTATTGTTTTTTGATGTATGAGTTGTAAACGACACTGAATAATAAAGATCATGTTTTGATAAACGAATTCCTTACATTTTTACTTAATCTTAGATGAAATGGGTGCACTTAATATTATTATACTAAAAGTAAATTTAATTTTAGAAAAGGTGAGCTTAAAATTAGTAGCTATGGCTCGTAGACGTTAGGATCTGGGTGCATCTGCGAAAACCTGTTTTATCTCCTATACCCGCGGTAATATCTCAGAGGCACTGCCATGTTTGTTACAGTCATCGATTGAAATTTTTAAAACCATGTTTTATGAAGGGACTTTGACGTGCTCGATTCTGCGACTGTGAAATATTATTGTTTAAGAATAATTACTGACTACACATATATCGGTTTTGAGTAAAAATTGAATTAAAAAAAAACAAGCATAGCAAGTCGCACGTACTTCCACAGCAAAAAGATGTTTTTTATTGTCGAGGGGACAAATAAGCAGAATAAATAGATAGTGGAAATATATTGTTTGTGCTTTATTATTCACGGCAAATTCAGATTGCTTTATCCACAAGAAGATTACAGTGGGTTTAGAAATCCTTCTGAGGCCCAAGTGTGAGTTTATTTCACATCTTCTCGATCGTCACGGTGACCGCGCTCGGCGCTGTGATTGGTCCGCTCTGAAATCTTCACCATTCGCAACGCCGAACGCGCTCGCCGTCGAGAGCGAGTTGATGTGAAATAAACTTGCACTAGGCCCTCTATCAGGACTCTACGGGACTAGACTAAACTGGTTTTAATGAAGTATTAACAAACATTAACTAATTTTATTTTCTGTATTGTTTTTTTCATTAAAAAACATTACAATGCAGGCCTAACTCGCACATTGTTATCACACCAGTATTGCAGCACTTGTAGTTGGTACACGTCAGTACTACGCAACTAGTCATAAACAAAGGATGTATCATTTTCGTTTCATTTTTATCAACAGTCTTTATCAGTCCACGGCTGGGCATAAGACTGGATAAAACGGGTCTCATCTGTTCCGGTTTTCGCAGATGCACCTAGATCTCAATGCCTACGAGCCATTACGAGTCAAAGCGGACGGAGCGGCTAGACGGAACCGAATTGCGAATTTACTTATCAATCAATTAACCTATCGCAGTGCCGCTTCTCTACATAGGCCTTCTTCATTGAGTTCATCCAGAGGCCGATTAAGTATCAAGAGCGCCCTAGACAAGCATCTCATCGGCGCCCCCGCCTCTCTAGCGTCCACTTTTAATTTTTTACGTGTGTAGCCACACGTAAAAAATTAACATATGTGGGCACATACTGTCCCCCCACCGGGGTTTAAGGTGGGCGCTCTGATGGTCGTCACGAGGCCACGCCTCTGCTCCAACACGCCAAGCATTCTAGCAGCGTGGTGTGGGTGGCACCCAGGCATTGGTTCTGGTCCTCTTGGTTTTTGCGGTTGCGGTTTCTGGTCCTTAATTTCTCGAGTACCACGATCCCGACCCAGTACGAGCCCCAGATACTTTATCGTGGGCTCGATATCGATGAGAGTGGCTCCTACTACGAGAGTAGGTCAGGTAGCCCCCTCCGAGGCTCATGAAAGAACAAGGCCTCAGATTTGTTCAGAGACTCCTCGAGTCGCCGAATCCTCACGGTGTGCTAAAGAACAAGCGATTCGTCCGCGTAGCACGTGAAGGCGACATCATCCAAGAAGGCACCGCAGAGCACCTAGTCGTAGCCGATATTCCGGCTATTCTGGAGCGGCCCTAACACTGACCCCTGCTTAATACCGCACGACATTTCACGCACCGACCGACCGAAATCTACTTTAAATCCCATTTAGAAATGAGTGGCTAAGGAAGAGATCCGCCAGCACTCTCTGAGACTTAGCACCCTCAGAGCGTGCCTTATTCTGGGCGATCAGAGCTTCCGTCGACACCATAACCCGACAAAGTTCGGATGGCTACAAAAAAGCGGCCGTGCAGTATATTTAGGTTTATTACGCATTTCCTTTAGAATCTCGTGCAATAGGACTCCTAATGGGACAGTGGTCCATTATGGTAAAATCGTTATCGCAGCGGAAACTTAAATATCTTCGCAGGTTATTTACACACACATTTCATTTAGACATAAGTACACAATTACCTCACATCACACACTCATTTACAACTTGACACAAACCCTATACCATCCCGTCTGGCCAGCGTGGTGTAGTAGGCCCAAACCTCCTTTCTAAGGAGAGGCCTATGTCCAGCAGTGGACTGTTAAAGGCTGTTGATGATGATACACTAATTTTTTAAACCATTTTTTTCTTCGACGTCCATAGGATATAAAAGTGCCGATTGGACAAGGTTGTCCCAGCGGAAACAGTTTTTCGTGAATAACTCCCCAATGGTTTAATGCACAAATTTTTACTTACAATACACAATTACACGGCGTCATACACTAAATATCTGTTAAACTAAAATTCGAACTTTTTCCGCGGGGGCAACGCACACGTCAAATGCAGCATCACATCGATAGCGAAAATGAAAAAAAATTACGTCACCGTCCAATATACATTTCTTAAATTTCGATATTTCTATTGCAGATGTTATCAATGTACGACAGGATCATGTTTGAAGACATCGACGGTGGAGTGTGGAAGCAAGGCTGGAATATCGAATATAAAGAGGACCAATGGAACCAAAAGAATAAACTAAAAGTATTCATAGTCCCACATTCTCACAACGATCCAGGTATGATTAATGGTTTTCATAATGATACATATTTTCGAACATTCAAGAAATTAATTATTAAGGCTGAAGTAAGCTTTTTTTTATAATAAATGCCAGAAACCTATTTTTTTTTTAAATAATTTTATAAGTGTACTGAATAAAAAATTTGTAATCTATTTAAAATTTAAATTACAACTTTCATCTAGCTGCATTTTATCGGTTAGTTGTGTTTTTTGTTTTGATAGTAAATATACTTTTATAGTAGCGGTCAATCTTTTTGACTATTGATTATTCTATTTTAATTTATTATGTATACAGGGTATAATCTTAGTCTTGAAAATGGTTATTTTTGGGATATGGTATTTAATAGTGAAATCTATCAGAAATGATGACAATTAAACCCTGACAACTAAAACCTCTTAAAGTATTTAGGTCGACTTACCCAGTAACCCTGTATATACGAGTATATATATATATATACATATGATATTTATTTTTTACCTCATGTAAGTACTGAGACCTCATATAAAGATAGCATCATCAAAACTAGTAACTCTTAAGTGAAAAACTATGCATTTTATCAGCATTCACACTTATTATTACGATACAAAATACGTCCAAGTGAAATTTATTCAGGTGAGAAACATTTTTAGCAAATATGTCTTAATTCGTATGAAACATGTTACATCTCTTTTGATACCACATTAACCTTCAAACTAGAAAGACGAGGCCACCTATTTTCACAATTACATTTATAGGCAAAAAGAAAATAAAAACAACTAGTAGTAAAATCGCGTCAACGTAGTGTGTAATAAAAATTCAAGGATATTACAAATACTCGAATCTCTATGTTTGTTCATTCCTGCCTATATATTGCACTAACTCAGACGTACCCAGAGACTTGTCAACTGCGAAAACCTATTGTGTACAAAGTTTTTAACCTTATGTGCACTTCAATTTGGCAAACCTACCGCAAGTACAATGTTTAGTCGCTATAGTTTAATCATAATAGCCATTGGAACTTTGATTATGTATAAATCCTTGTCAAAACCGTAAGAAACAAATAATTTAAAATCAAAACTCGACATTCACAAACGAAATGGCATAAATAAGAACTAAACATTTATGGACACAATGCTGTGTAACCGGTTGTATAAGATTAGATTAAGTAATAATTCAATTATTGAATATGTTTTATCAAATTTTCATATCTCATTTTATAAATACGTTAATCAAGTAAAGTAAGTTATATCGCTGCTTCGCACACGTGTATGTTTTATTTTTATAATATACTAGCTCGTACTCGCGACTTCGTTCGCGTGGAATTTAAAAAGCGCTGCCTTAGTGGGTTCGATGCTTGTACCGGTCAAAGGTTTTTCTGAGAGGAAAAATAGCCTGAGTTACTCCTTATATAGACAGCTACTTGGTAGTAAAATATTATCAAAATCGGTCCAGCCGTTTTGAAGATTACATTTTTTTTTTCCGTGTGGAAATCCCCTCGGATACCACCGGAACCGACTAAAACCGCACGCCGTTTCAAACAAACAGACAGACAGAAAGACAAAAAATATTTAAACTGGTTTTTAGGCACAGGTATCGTGCAAATAACCTGTTGCCAGGAAGCCCACTAACAGTAAATAGACAGATTATTATAATCATTTAACTAATAAATAGCTAACGGACGTAAAGACCATCAATTCATACACCAAATCTCACATCAATTATTTGTGAATCACATCAATAATAATTGTTAAGATCATAAACAACACCAACCAAGTGCGAGCAGGGCTCTACTTAGTCATTACATCTTGTTTATACTTGTCTAAAAAAATTAACGTCTTATTTTAAAAGTTTAAATATATTTTAGGTTGGCTTAAGACATTCGAGAATTATTACAATACGCAAACCCGTGCAATATTCACCAATATGGTGGAGAAGATGAATGAAGGTATCGGTAGGAAGTTCGTGTGGGCTGAGATAAGCTACCTAGCACTGTGGTGGAATAATGACGCTAGTGATAAGGAAAAGGCATTATTTTTGGAGTAAGTATATCACTATGCATGGTATTATGTACGTAAGTGTATTAACTAATTTAGACATGATAAAAAAGGATTTACAAAACTTATACAGGCTGGTATTTGATTGAGGAATGATAGATGTACCTAAAGCTAAAGTTATTGCTCATTTGGTTTTGAATCAGATCCGTTTCATTTTTTCTTTTTTATCTGAATAGTTGTTTTTTTAATGTAAGCAAGCTTTAAGTAGTAAAACTCTTTCGTTGCGATAGAAATAAGTCAAGAAATTTCTGATTGAACTTTATTGACTCTTTTCCATTAAGATTGTACAGTTTGTACTTCTAGCTATTTTTCTTAATCACTTCTTAACATCTTTCTTTCTATTATTCGTAATTCTATTAATCTATTAATTGTAATATCACATTATGTTTCCAAATGTACCAAATAAAACATTTCTCGTGCCCAATACTTAAGAGACAGCATTAGTCAGTTCTGCAGTTTTCAAACAACACCTGTAGAAAAGCTTTCGGGGTAAAGTTTTTTAACGTATGTTTCTTCACATCTCATCATAAAATCCATAGTATATTAAATATACTAGTATATTGTAGACATGTCATACAATTATTTTATATTTAAATAATTGTATGATATGTCTACAATATATACATTTTTTAACATTTACAGCTTACTAAAAAACAAGAAATTAGAAATAGTAACAGGTGGGTGGGTTATGAACGACGAGGCCAATTCCCATTGGATTTCTACAGCGCAACAGCTCACAACAGGTCATCAATGGTGTATAGATAATTTAGGAATTGTGCCGAAGAACTCCTGGTCGATTGACCCCTTCGGCTACTCCAGCAGTCAGCCTTACCTATTGAAGCTGGCTGGTTTTGATAACTCCGTCATTCAGCGAGTGCATTATAGAGTGAAAAAAGAATTAGCTTCTAATAGGCAGTTGGAGTTTAAGTGGCGTCAATTGTGGGGTAAGCGATATTTTCACTTCAACTCCTCTCAGTAGCTCCACAGCATGTGATGTAAAATTCCAGCTGGCGTTATATTTTTTAATTGCAGATGGTGTTGGCAAAACAGATATGTTTACACACATGTTTCCTTTCTACTCTTATGACGTGCCACATTCTTGCGGACCTGATCCTAAAGTAAGCCTTACCTACTTCTTATTGGTCCTAGGATGACATCTGAATAGGTTTCATGTCACACATTCCCACATTTAATAAGAATTATATGTAATTGTGAAGGTTTTAACTAACGGAATTAAAACCATTAGTTCGGTTTATGATTTACCCTTATGGTGAATTGTTACGGTAATTATTAGCCATGACATTAGAATAGTGTCACTTGTTCATTATCGATACTGTAGGGTACGTTTCGATAATGCTACTTGATATCAGTTAATGTTTCAATTAATTACTTGCGGGTAATTATATTTATTCACTGAGAGCGTTGATTTTACATGTTTAATAATTTCTACTGTGCTATTTATTTATGATTTCTTGTATGTTTTTTGTAGATATGCTGTCAATTTGATTTTAAAAGACTCCCCGGCAACGGGATGTCTTGCCCTTGGGGTGTTGCACCTCAGAGAATTACTCCAAAGAATGTTCATGAAAAGTAAGTAATATATTTTTAACGAGATATAAACTTACGACTTTATTCATTTACGTAGGGCTGCGATTCTACATATGCTTTATATGCATATGAGCTACATATGAATGTATGTTTAACCGTACCAGAATTATTTACATTAATTCATGACAATTTGATAAGGTTCGTAATGGGCAGGTTACGAGCTCCGAACCGTTATTATTCTCCGTTGCTGGGTCAAATCTAATTATCTCCCTTCTCTTTCAATGAAAGAGAACACGATATACCCGCAGCAAGGAGATGCTTGAGCCTTAATTTTTTCTCTAATTGAATCACAAATACATATTTGTTCTAGATTATCAGATAGATTATGTTCCAGATTATTTCCTAATATGTTACTTCTTTAAGTTTAAAATATTCATAGTGTTTGTGTCACACGTTAATGTTAGTAAGGTTCATAAAAGTAAAGTTTTGTAAAGTAAAGAAGTAATTGACTTTCTAATCCTATTTTACTGTTAATCGGTTAATTTAGCTATAAGTCTTACATAGAACAAATAAATTAATAATACTCAGTTCTGCTTCATATATTATGATCTCAGATCTCCTATCGAGATCCCACAAAAATTAAAATTTAACAATTTCAGAGCCTCCTTAATACTCGACCAGTGGCGTAAGAAGGCTCAATTGTACCGAAGCAACGTTATCCTATTTCCTTTAGGTGACGACTTCAGGTACGACCGCTCCAACGAGTGGGACAACCAGTTCCAGAACTATGACCTACTCATTGACTATATTAATAACAATGAAGCGTGGAATGCTGAGGTAAGAAATGATTTAATGATTGATTTATTTATTTATTATAGAATAAACTGCTAACTCAGAACATACATCTGTCATAAATGATGAGATCGTCCGTTAAAACTTTTTTTTTAAGATACAATTTGGCACTCTCGAAGATTATTTCAAAGCAGTTCATGCAGAGGTGAAAATGTCCGACTTTCCTGTACTCTCTGGTGACTTCTTCACATATGCTGATAGGCAACAGCATTATTGGAGTGGCTATTTCACTTCCAGGCCGTTTTACAAGAACATGGATAGGGTTTTACTAGCATACCTCAGGTAAGTCTTGATGTTTTACTAGATTAATTTTAACCCATTGAATGCCGAGGTGAACCTACAGATCATATTCAGTGGCCAGTATAGAAGTAATGCGTAGTTGGCATCACGGTTTGGCGTCACTGATCTACTCTATACGTAGTAGCACGGATATAGCTCCCCAATAAACATGAATTATTGTTTATCCTGTTCACACCTGTAGGTATATACGACAATCACCTGTTCTCCCCGCTTCCATTTGCTTTGACTCGATAAACAATGTAATCAAAATTAATATAAATTCCAAACACTTTCACTTTTCAAAGTCGGAGAAACGGCAAAACCAATAGCTTTTGACCATCATTATTTCCCTGCTCTTATCCCAGTTTTATTTGGGCCGGTGAAATGTGTCATTACAAAGGGATTTAACTGGTTTCTTTTAAAGCTGGCTATCTGCCATACGCCAACCCTCCTTGGGAATGTAATCTTTTACAGACCACACAAAAGAAGACTGTAAAATGGGGCAAGTAAAACATTTAGGGTAAAAGTTACGCAAGTCTCGATCAAGAGACTGAGACGCGTACCTGTATATACTTTGTCAGTGGAGAGGTCCTTTAGGGTCTATTTCTTTTTCTTTTACGGTATAGGAGGGGGGCAAACAAGCAAAACGGTCACCTGATTTTCTTTTTTAAAAGTCATAATTAGGATTAGGAATATATCCTGTATCGCGGGGGACTTTACAAACATATATGATACGGACACAAAGAACACCAAGACACAGAACAACAATTTGTAAATCACAGAAAGTGTCGTCCCATGTGGGGATTGATCCCACAACACTTAATACAAAAAAAAGTATATAAGTGTTCTATCAGTCAATTTAGCTTTCATAGTACTCTGTACTAGTACAGAGCTCTGCTTAGTTTGAAACTAGATGGCGTAAGATGTCCGAAAATATTATAAATAGTAGTGTAGTAGAAAGCTGCGAGGCGACCGCTTAAACCACTACGCCATCCGTGCAGTAGATTGTAAGTGACTACCGCCGCTTGCAGTTCAAGAGTCATATCTTCACTGCCGCTCTTTGAGTCCCTCACTCACTTACTGAAAAGCAATGAAAAACTACTTTACTCCGGTTTTCTGTGAGGCCGTGGTGTCACTTCAGTTGATCTAGCCCATTCGTGCAGAAGCATGGCTCTCCCCCGGCTAACAAAGGGCTAGAGTAGCGACTTCCATCTGATATTGTCAATAAAATACCTATTGACTGCCTTGGTGGTGCAGTCGTAGCGTATGCGACTGCTGTGCTGAGGCCTCGGGTTCGATTCCCGGGTCGGACAGATTGCTTGTATGATCTGAAAGAAATTGTTTCAGAGTTTGGGTCGTTTCTATGTATAGGTATTCTATCAGTCAATCTAGCTTTCATAGTACAAGCTCTGATTAATTTGAAACTAGATGGCGTTGTGTGACAGACGTCCGAAAATATTATTATTCTTATCGTTTGTTAACTTTTTCTCTTGTTAATAACCAGAGCTGCAGAAACAATAAGTTCGCAGGCGATTGCGTCACGCTCTGTGTCGCATATTATGTCGCTACAGCTGCGCGACCGAGTGGAACAGGCCAGGCGATCGTTGTCGCTGTTCCAGCATCACGACGGAATAACTGGCACAGCACGCGATAATGTTGTCATAGATTATGCTAAAAAGTAAGTAATATAATATTATACAAAAATAACAAAACAGTGGTATATTTACGGATTTTTAATTTACTATATGTAGTTGAATCAGTCATCATTTTATGGATAGGTCTGAAATATCTTTAACTATATCTGTATACTCGTACACGGAAGCGGAATTTAAGTATGAGTGATTGCAATGGGTACACTAACACAAACACTGCAAATAAAATGTATTGCATCAGACGAAATTCACACAGGCACTTCAGTAAGCAACTTCAGTGTTCAAATTATTCCGAGTGTTTACAAAATCTTATTTATATTCAGATTTTGTTTTTGATATATACGTATATGTGAATGGCTAGTGGTGACTGATAATTTAATTAAACTTATCCGGATAACGAAATATGCAACAACATTTGCTTTGAACATTCAAAATTTGAGCCATCGAAAGGTAGCAGGATCGTATAATACCTATAGTCAATTCGCGTTAAGAAAATAGTAACGCATCGATCAAGGCCTACCCCCCGACCAATAAGATTCCAAGAACTTATCGTTTCGTAACTTGGAAAGATTGGACTATAGTCCAATACTGACGTAAAAACATGTAATCGTAACGCAAAGACTAAGAGGTAATGTGCTTTGTTCCTTACAGAATGCAGACGGCAATAAAGTACTGTCAGTCCGCCATACAGCAATCGGCTTATTACCTGCTCAAACAACCTGCGATCTTGGACCAGACTATGGACGATGTCTACTTCGACGTGGATGACATCTGGCGGCGACACGACGAGATCCCATCCAGGATTACAATAACCCTCGATGTTGTGTCACCTTCGAGAAAAATTATCTTGTATAACGCTTTGCCGTTTACGAGACATGAAGTTTTGACCGTCTTCGTCTCCTCGCCGCATGTTGAGGTGAATAAACTTATACTATGAATAATTTTTAAGGTTGTTCTTAATATAAAAATCTAAGTATATACATATATACTTAGATTTTACATACATATAAATTCTCCTTATATGAGCTAACTACGAAATCGATATAACACCCACATGAGTAAATGTTTAGTCTCATATTATCTTTTAAGGGGACAAATTCGTACTAAGTTAGGTCGCCGGCAATACTCTTAGTATTGCTGGAGACTTGACTACCACACAATTAAAGGATAGTCGGTGTTATCGCAATTGGCCTTAAAGTTATTGTTATGTGTGTGTGTTGTGTTTAGTGTAAAACATCAAATCCTATAATATTCCACATTTTTTTTCCTACTTCAAAAAATTAGAATGGTCTCAATTTGATTGTTTTTTTTTTATTACCTCTGACCGATGCATAAGAGATCGTCATAAGTCTAAATGCTTAAACGGGACTGTACCAGCAATACCTCAAAACTCCGTTATTTATGAACCGATTCGGAAAAACGTCTTTTTGTCTGAGGAGCATACTTCCTCTTTGGTTCCATTAAAATTTAAGAAAATAAATATAAGGGTGGAAATTTAAGAAATGAAGAATACAGTGTATAACAATTCTACAATTATGTATTTGTATTGAAGTCGGTAATATTTTTAGAAAGTTACTTATTCATTTAAAATTCCTCTCATAGAGTTCTTCTTTGTCTTAGCTTTTGATGGGAATTCCGTCCGTCCCGTCGTATATTGATTTCAATTCAAGTTTGCTTAAAGTTGTAATAATCTTAATCAGCATATATTATAATAAAACACTACTTTTTAATTTATTCCAGAAATCAAATCTACATGTTATGGTAATTTTTATATCTATTACTTTCCTATTTTCATAAATGTAAGTTTAAGATAAGCGACTAACAGAGTTTAAACTACTCTTATATGCGTTAGGCCTAATGCTGTGGGATTGCTGAGTGTGATAGAAAGTAGTGCTGTCTAACGGCGGTCTGCTGCCTAGTTGTACTGAGCCGTCGACATACCTCAGAAATAATAACTTAAATCTGTATAAAAGCCTAATAAACAAACAAATCCATTAAAATTAATGATATTAGTTAGGATTAGGATACTTATAAGTATAAATTAATAATAAGAAATATAAAGTCGACGGTGTCAAAAGGATTAGGTTCATTCAAAGGTTCACTGTAGACGATCTGTGTCTCTTTGTCGCCTTTATTCGGTGTTTGACCGTAACGATCAAGTAGATGTGAAATAAACCCCCACTAGGCCGTCTGATAGAAAATTATACATATATACTTATACTAACCACTTTAATATTACATATTTCAGGTATTTGACCCAGCAGGCAACCCTATGATGGCCCAGATAGCCCCGGTGGTGGCGGGTGAAAAGAGGCTCGCGTTCGCGGCCAATAAGTACCAGCTGTCGTTCCCAGTGACTGTTAGCTCACTAGCGCTCACGACGTACACGGTCGCGCTTAGAGACAGCATGAGTATTAATAAGTAAGTACATATTTATATGCATCATCATATTATAGTCATGGGATTATACATCAATATTGTTTTTTTACGATATTTTCATCCTTGAAATGTTTATTCACACACACATATGTCATATTTTTAACGTGTGAGAACCCCACCCTCACTTAACCCGGGGGTGAAGTGGTTTGTCAGACTCAAACCGATTAAAATAACGGTATTCAGTCATAAATGAGCCTGAGGATGAGTATGAGGAGACCCGTGGTGCCCTAACAAGGAAGCCATTGAGAAGACCTGCAGACTTAAGCCGCTTGATGAACAAGTGGTCACACAGTTGACGGGAACTCTAACCCTTCTCCAGATAAAAAAGCGCGCGCGGATTATCATTATCATCAGAATTATCATCATCATCATCATCATGATGTGGAAACACTAAGAACTACAAAATTATATTCACGCTATCCTAGCAAACAAGCGATAAATAACGATATTATAAGGCGTAGTTTACATAAACTTTGCTATTTTTTTATAAACTTAAACTCAATAAGTGTCCATACATATAATTGAAATGTCGTAATGATGTTCATAGGTACACGTCCTATTCCCACATACGAGTGTACAACGCAGACTACTGGACAGTGGACCTGCCGAAGATGTTCCCGGTGGAACAACCATCAGAGCGACTGTCCGAGGACATCACTGTTCAAGTAACGAACGGCACCAAGATAGTCGCCACTATGAACGGGCTCATTAAGGCTATCGTGTCACTGGACGGATCCGTCGTACCCGTACATATGGACTTTGTTCAGTAAGTTTTGATGTCTATTATATTACTTATTTTAACAAATATCCTTTCGTTTAAAGTATATAGCATTTTAATGCAATGTAATTAACAGGAAGTTATTTGTGTACAAAAAGTGCTCTGGTAAAATTTCAGCTAACTAGAGTATGTAAAGCATCGCGCACAATAAAATATGTGCAAATTATATTTATTCCAGTAAACCTAATCCCAACTAAATTACATAATACATAATAACACAACTACGGAATACCTAGTCCACCAATTCATTTAATAATAGCGACTGTTCAGATACAGTACAGTGCAATTCATCACAATCAACACAATATTACCTTAAAGTTGTCTTTCTTTCTGTCGCGTAGCTCGTATCTTTTCTGACGATGTTAGATTTGATTATTTTTTTCCACTTCCATGTCCATTCAAAGTATAAAAAACGTGAATTTAGGATCCTTCAAGAATGTCTTCTATTTCTCTACCGTTTTAGAAGTAATAAATTATAAAAAACCGGGTCTATTCTGTGCCTATGTCTTACCTTTAAAACAGTTACATTATCACCAGCACTCAGACACTCATCATGTCAACACATGTCAATAGGTATGACAGTCATCGCGGGAAGGACAACAACAGTGGCGCCTACCTATTCATCCCAGCGGGACCCGCCACGCCCTTCAAACCAGAACCCTACCCTGAAATAGTCGTCACTGAGGGGATATATAAATCTACTATTTATACTGCACTCACCTCGCCTAAAGCAGCTGAACTCGTCTTAGCGGTGAGTTATATTACGTTTCTTCTCTATGAAGTATAAATGTTGTGACGAAATTGTATAATTGATCACTTCATATGATATGGTTTAACCATTTTATAAAAATGTTTCTAATTCATGAAATGCTCAGTCCAATAATGATATGGTTTGGCCAGATCAATGAATAATCATCTTTTGACGATATGAACAGCAACGCACAACTTCTTTATGTTATGGTCCAAATTTAAGACTGCTATAATTTTCACATACTCTTGCCCTTACAAACAAACTGCAAATGAAGTGCAATAATCAAGCAATGTATATGGCCTGTTGGTCTAGTCGTTAGTGACCCTGACTGCCACTGTTTGTGACTACGATTCCCACCTAGGACAAATAATTGTGTGATGAGCACGTGAGATTGTTCATTTGTTTAGAAATATGTAAGTATAAATATTTATCAGTAGTCTGGTTACCATTTATTTTATGTGTGTAAAACGGGGTGGGTGTGTCGGAATCGACCCGACTAAAACCACACGGTGTGCCACTTTGCGCGAGGGATCCGGGGGCTGCTATTATTAGGACATCCGGACCAGTAGTCTGGTTACCGTAGTACTAGACTCTGCCTAGTTGGGGATCATACAGCCGTGTGTGAGATGTGTGAGGTTATTATTATTATTATCGTATCTGTCATGTGTCCTAACAGGTGTACAGTCTGTGCGTAGAAACAATAATAATTTAAGAAGCATATGTCTACAGATCAGCGTCCATAACAACCCGTCTCTCCAACAAAGCGAGGTGGAGATCAGTAACACATTACTCATAGATCCACAAGTTGACAACTTGGAGCTTGCCATGCGGTTCTCTACTGATGTCAAGAATGGAGACGTGTTCTACACTGATCTTAATGGAATGCACGTATGTGATTATTAATTAAATACCCTACATAGCCAACCAAATTTTTACATTAATAATTCAACCCTTACTATCAAAAATACAGGTGCTCTGCTATAATTGTAATTTTTTAGTCTTATGTTACACATCTGCAATTTATACCAGATTTCCTTTTTAGAACATAACCTTAATAACCTTACCCCCTGCAAAAACCTCCACTCGTAAAGGAACCGCGAGTCGGTTTGATACTTTTGACGTACTACTTCTTCATTAGCTCCTATGTGGGTCTACACACGATTAAAAGAAAAGGTTGTGTTATTTTGTATTTATAAGTCACTTACCAATGGGAGTGGCCTATGTTTAGCAATGGACTGCGAAGGCTGATGATGATGATGATGATGATGACGATACTATACCCTAGCTCTTAAACCATAAAAAAACACTCAATTTTTGCTCTCAGAAAACTTTAGAGAAGAAAATTATATCCATATACCACTTCTTTTATACCACCGTTGGTTTTCCACACCTATAATATTGCCTACCATGACACAGATGATAAAACGCCGTTACTTCGACAAGTTGCCGCTCCAAGCGAACTACTACCCGCTACCGGCGGCCGCGTACATCGAGGACGACCACCTCAGACTTACGCTACTCACCTCTACGCCGCTCGGGGTAGCAGCCCTGCAGCCTGGACAGATCGAGGTACTTCAGTTTTAGTGTCGTTTAAGCCAAAAAAGTCAATCAATCAGTTTCTCTTTAACGTTTTAACAAACTAGTCTTAGTCCAAAATAAGAACGGTAATCAATTATGGTTTTATTAGGAATGAATATTTTCAATCAGTTAAATAATTTGCTTTTAAATAATGTAGTTTAACTATTAGCAACCTACCTTATGGAATTTAAACACTTATGATTATTAAATACATATTGCTACTGATAGATATCATGAGTAATCTTTTATTAAATTATTACTAGACAGGAATTGACGGGATGAAGTATCGACGTTATTCATTCTTTGAAAGCCATAGTTACACGTGTATTTGACAATAATAAAATGCATTATAACACGAGATGAACACATATATATGTAATTGTTTCATATATGTACGTGACACTGACATGCAGAGGGTTAAACTTATATAAATATTGCAGGTGATGCAAGATAGAAGATTGAGTAGAGATGACGCGAGAGGTTTGGCTCAAGGGGTATTGGACAATGTAAGAACACGACACACGTTCAAACTTATTATTGAGAATGCCAACAATCCATGTCCGGTACGTATGTTTTCTTTTATAAATACTAGTGTTTGCCACGTAGTTCGATTATTAGTGATTACGTTCGAATATCGAGCACTGGGTATAAAAAATAAACATTTAGGTATTAAAAAATTCTTAAGTTATTAAAAATAAAGTAATAAGTAGTTTACAATTTTTTTTTGATAACACGGAATCCCTGTAAAATCTAATCAAACAAATATAACTGCTTTGCCTTTTGCTTTTAAGTGAAAACGATAAAAGTAAAATATATTAAATCACATTCAGTCTTTTTATAAAACGACGAACATACTAAATAATAGGGATTGCAATCAGGAAAAAAGAACATAAAACTTTTTCCGGATCCGATGTCGAATTTCGATGATAATTTGTTTTTCAATTTCAAAATTCCGTAGTCCATAAAAAGTTTAGCCCTTTTTCCCTTGCCAAGAGAACTTATGACAAGAGAACATAATAAAGACACGTGGTGGTTCCCCAGGCGGGCAGCCCGGCGGAGCACCCGAGCGGGCAGCTGTCGCTGGGCGCGCACGTGGCGCAGCAGCTGCAGCTCCAGCCGCTCGTGGCGCTGCAGTACACGGCGCGGGACGACTCGCCCCGCGCCGGACACGCGCGCGCCTCGCTCAGCGCCGCCGACCTCGTGCTCGCCGCCTACCACTCGCACGTCTCCACTAAGGTAACGCTCCCTATACCCTCTGACTGATCGACTTGGGATACAAAATAAACCTTTTTGTTACGCTATCGTAGCCACGGAGAAAAACTACTTTTAATAAAAAAAATCTTTAGAACGGAACTGGAAATTGGGAAAAACATATTAACGTCACAAATAGCTTTAACAATTATTTCTCCAAATAAATTTGATTCCCACGAAAGACAAATATTAAGGAATTTGGAAGTCAAGATACAATTTGTAAGACTTGTAGAATTACTTGTAGGATTGTACAGATATTTTTTTTAAATAAATTTGAGCCTTCACATCTGAATTATTTTATATAAATAATGAGTTAAAAGGGCTTATGAAAAGAAATTATAAATGTAGCACAATTCAAATATTTACATTTTTATAAGCAAAAGAAAATTATTTTGATAATATACATTCATTCACATGATACATATCACATAACGTGGCGATACATGCGTAGTTACGCGTCGCCACGCGCACGTGCAATCTCTGAGTGAAAATATATTTATTTTTGTAAATTTTTACATAACTATGCCGACAAACCGACAGCCGGTCTGATCCTTAAATAAGATATTTCATATAAAAAAGGATGACCTGTTTTAAAGTACCTCTGTTATTCACAGAATAAAGACGGCACCGTGCTCCACGGTATGGGGATGACATTCCAGCGAGTCTACCTGGAATCATGTTACGGTAACAAAGAAATCAAGAAGTGGTATCCTCTCTCCGATGGCCAGGTCAGTTCCATTCATTCATGAATTCGAATAGCCATTAGAACCATTGTTTTTCTTCATAGTCAAATGTTAGAACAGATCCAGACTGCTAAGCTAGGTGTCGTGGGTGCACGCGAGGAGACGGCACAATGCCAGCATTGCTCGGTCGACTGGGACTCCGCCCAGCACACGCTGGAAGACGGCCCCGCGTGGGCGTCTGAACGCGAAGTCCTGGGCGATCAAATCGGACGAAACCTGTCCCCGCCAGCAATCATTGCTACCATGCTGGCTGTTGTGGAAGGCTGGGGCGTAGTGGTCTCTTTCTATGAAGCTGTAATGCTCCATAAAGAGACCGCTGAACGGGATCGGAAGAGGGTCGATCCCGAGCGAAGAAGATGTCAGCAGTGGTATGAGCTGCCGACGGGACCGCGGGACCTTAGGATGGCGGCCTGATCGCACTGAAAATGTGATCAGGCCGCAGCATCTGGATAGGCTGACAGGCAGGGAGAAGTCACTGGCTCCCCCTGAGATAGGGTCTAGTTAGGTGCGGTGTCGATCTGGGAGGGACGTGAAATCACATGGCCCGGGCTCAACCTAAGGCTGGCCGTCGTGGTAGTTTTCACGTATATATATATGTATGTTTATCAGCAGTCTGATAACCAGAATACAGATTCTGTCTAGTTTGGGATCAAACGGCCACGTGTAAGATATAAAAGTATTTTTTTTTTTCACAATTACAGTTTCAAATATCGGAGCTTGTGGACGCGCCCGCCAACAGCGTGTACGAAAGTACGCTTACATTCGTCAATATCAAGAACCAGCTACCGAACGGTGTTGTCACTCTGTGTCCTCAGGAAGTGAGATCGGTGTTCATCAACGACACACTCAAGGCTTACTAGATTATACGTACATTTTGGATGGTAAATGCACAATTAATATTATTATAAAGGTACTATTGTGATATACGTGTTAGTACCGAGACTTTTATGGGATGAACATTATGTGAAATTCAGAAAAGAAAACCCCACTCGATCATTCTCCCTCTACAAATATGTTAATCAGTAAGCGAGAAATATTCCACATATCCAATGCAATCCTTACGCATCTCGGTAGTATTTATACTGATAAAAGCAAACTGTAAAATATATTTATTTACCATTATAAAATGTATATGTGTATGTTATTATAAAATATTAGTAAATTTTATTATTAAATTATTTATTTGCCGTGCTGATATTAATCAATGTACCTACTTTTAATTGAATATTTTTAAACATTTAATTAAAAATAGGTATACATTGAAAATATTTAAAAAAAAAATACCGTGAGGTACATCCCATTTACATAAGTCAATGTGTTATGCTAAATTTAAATATTTGAAATTCTGCTTTTAAATTTACATTCGAAGACAAGAATAATTTATTTAATATAATTAGCTTTCGGCCGACGTTGAGCTTTACGTAGACTGTTTTCCAAGGTGTATAACACGCCTATAATCAACAGCTTCGTCTATAACTCTATAGTCAGCAGGACCTATGCCTATAGTCGCCAAACTGAGAAAATATTCCTTATTTTTGAATACTTTTCTTTTTTCTCTAATGCTTTGATCTTTTGAAAGCCTTCATTATTAGGAAACAATTCTTTAAATAATCGTATACCAATAAACTAACCATTGCAACTCTATTGATAGCTTTATATTTATTTCTGCGTTTTTCTTAACAAACGGATGTTTGTTTTAAATTAATATTGATTGATATTAATTTAGATAATAAATTAATGTATAAGCGCTTATTAAAATCATGAAGTATATTGTAATTTATCTATTAACAAGAAATACATGTTTTGTACCAATTATTTACCAACTCCATTTCTATGAGACAATGCATGTATTTATATTATTTTATCTTAAAACAGGGTTCCCTGAATTTAAATGATTATAAATATTTCATGAGAGATGATATTAGTGAAAACGTCGTAGACTGTTAACATTTTTTTTTTATGAAATGTCTTTAGAGGTGGCAAACGAGCAGACCGGTCGACTGATGGAAAATGACTACCGCCAACACAAAACAAGCGCGGCTTTTTAGGTATGAGTACGCACTTTTGTTGAAGGTCAAATTGGTCCCGAAGTCCCACAGACGATAACTTGTTCTACAGTTTGGTTGTGCGAGGCAAAAAGTGTCTCGAAAAGCGCACAGTGTGGAACGATGGCGGTAAGTTGCGGCCGGTATTAGTCCGAACAATTCTTCGGAGCACTCTCCATGATATATGCGATAGAAAATGCAATCTACATCTCTACATAACGCCAAAAAATCCAGCTAATCGGAAATCTTTGGGCTATCGACGATTCGAGTCGTTCTTCGTTGGATGCGGTCCACAGCGAGAAGCCGGTACTGAGATGCCCCTGCATAGAGATGAGAACAGTATGCTATATGCGGCCGGACTTGCGTCTTATAGGATTTGTCTTATAGAGGCTTTGGACCGGAGTGAAATACTGCCTCGATCTGTTGAGCACACCGAGCTTCTTTGAGGTTAATAAACTTTATCCTCTAAGTGACCCCGAAACTGGACTTCGCTAGATATGTCGATGCCTAGGATTCTGATTTAGTCGGCCCCAATCTGAAACCTCCGCTAAGGAAATTTCAATTTCAGACACAAGTTTGTTTCGAGTCTCGATGATGTTTTCCCGAGAAATATAGGGGCGGCCGGTATAAAGGGCGTCTCCCGTACTATCATCCGCATAGTAATTAAAGTTACTAGTTTGAAACATGTCATTGATATACAGAAGAAACATATTAAAACATTTAATACATTATAATTTAAGGCCGTAATGACCGTTTTGACTTAACGCTTGTGTGAGACTCAAATATGTATTCAACCCTGTGTGTGCATACAAGTAGTACAGAGATCGTCTCTGATTTTATCGACGTGTTTAGACCCCACAAATAACTTAAGTTAACAATTTGGCAAATATAATTTTTTTCCAGAAATCTTTTAAATGTGACAAATTTAACTTAAAAATTGACCTACACATGCTAATGTTTTGTAAGGACTAATATGAATGAAACTGGTTATTTATTACATAGATGTTGATATCCAGATTAGAAATAAAACTGCACAAATAAAATAAAAACATAATTATCGAAATTGACATTCAGATTTACATTGTCTTGTTAAAAATGTCAACCTACATCAGGAAAAGCATTTACCATGTGATGTCGTTAAACAGACTGTTCAATAACCTAGGTACTAGAATGTCGTATTATACAAAGCTTACTTAAGATAGATCCTTTCTAAAAAAAAAGTTGAACCGACTTCAAACAATACTAACAAAGAATTTAGGTTGATTTGCTGTAATTTTTTGAAAAGTTTCGTTGTCTGTCTCCGAAACTAATCATCAGATCTATATGACCCCTTTCGAACAAAAAAACACGCACATACATTTTGTTCTAAATTAATGACCGAATTGATAACCTTCTCCTTTTTAAAGTCGGTTAAAAACAGTTCTAATTTTTGTTTGTACATGTTTATGTTCGTTACCGATGATTATGTCATTTAAATATTATTTTCAGCTGTATTACAACATAAATATTATTTTTACATGACTGCTGACGTTACTAGCTTTAAGTGTTGTATATAATAAGCACATGAATACTTAATGGTGACTAATATAAGTCACACACATTCGATGTATACTGCATGATTGGGGGACTATCTGTGCGATTGACCCCTTATTTTTCAATATAGAATTAATAATAATTTGATTTGATTGAAATTACACCGAAACCCGTCAAAGCGCGATGGCTGTTGACAATTTGATCTCACATATGGATCCACTTATAAAAGAATTTGATAAGAAAATATGCCATAACTTGTAGTAAAATAGAAGCAAGAATAGTTCCATGAAACAAGTGAAGAAAATATCTTAAATGAAGTTTATTATCGTTCAGAAAATAGTTAAGTCTCAAATACGACTGAAAAATTAACATCATGTTAATCTAAAGTTAGATAATTGATTCCTTTATATTAATTTATTGTACACATCTATGTTGATGCTATCAATACAACGAACTCGCATCAATTTGTATTTGTTAATAATTACATAAACTCTACGAAAAATATGTATTTACTGTCCAATTACAACCCGAAACAAATTTTATATATTTAGGAAAAAGTTGAGTCTAATAAAAAAAAATTGGTTGCCTGTAAAGTCGGTATACGGGCGAAAGTTTTACGTGACAACGACTATGTCTGTCTCTCTCGCTCTTAGGCGGGCTAACCATGCCCGATTGGAAGGGACGCGTGCCTCTCACTCGCTCTCATTGTGAGCGCATAACGTGAGCGGAGCGTAACGCAGTTTCTTGAAGTGTCACCCGGCAAACCAATTTATAAGACGTTGTCACGTCAATACATTTTTTTCCGATTAGATTTATTTAATATTACGTATATATAATATGTATTCCTCATAGGGATGTGTACCTACTCACCTTCTCACGTTATCGTACCAAATCGGTACGATAACTTTTGTATCAGGTAGGTATATAAGGATGGAATAAAATCACAATCACATGTGATAAATCATATAATCTAATCTGTGACTAATTTACAAAACCACGCGACTTATTATTATTATAGGGCTAGCGCTAGACTCGCTAAAAATCTTTGATGATGACTATCACCAAATCACAATTACACGTGAAATGGCAGTGACTAATACCAATCATTTCATCATATGAATATTCTTTATAAGTAGCAATAATTTCCATGTCTAGACTACCGATATTATTATCCTCGAGTGTACCATAATAGATCTCAATTTGAAATGTCTTCAGATCTACAATTTATTTGGATCCTGACATGTAAAATATTAGTGAAGTTTGTATCAGAATGTCCAATTATATATGTAAATGCATTTCAATGTAATTTTGTAAATATAGAAAATGGTGTTAGCAATTGGTTGTTTTATTTTTACACCCACTAAGAAAATCAGTACCTACAGCTCTTTCTTTACGGTAATTATCACTAACATCGACCAATGTTGAGAGGTTTCTCAGAAAGAAGCCAAAATATAACACTGCGACTTTAACTGCGACCTTAAGCATAACGTCAAATACTATACAGATCGTGATACTCCAATTTATGCGTGCTTCCTCGACTTGTCACGCGCTTTTGACCTAGTCCATTATGACATTCTGGGGGATAAAATCGACAGCATTAGCCTTCCTAAAGACCTAGCCAATATATTTAAATATTGGTACACAAACTAAACAGTGTAAAGTGGGCTGGTGCAATTTCGGAACCATACCGGCTTGAGTGCGGAATGAGGCAGGGTGGGTTAACATCACCAACATTGTTCAATTTGTATATGAACGAACTTAATGTCTTGCTTAGCAATAGCCGAGTGGGATGCCGCATTAACAATGTGTGTGTCAATAACCTTAGTTACGCAGACGACATGGTTTTGCTGAGTGCGTCGGTATGTGGGTTTCGTAAATTGCTACGGGTGTGCGAGGGTTTTGTGCGTGGGCATGGCCTGCCATATAATGTTGTGAAGAGTCAATTCATAGTCTTTCAGACCAGTACACAATGTCCACAAAACGTACATCCAGTTTGTCTTAATGGAACTAACCTGGAGAGGGTCTATAAATTTAAATACCTAGGACACTGGGTTACAGCGGATTTGAGAGACCTTGAAGACATGGAACGGGAACGGAGGGCACTGTCAAAAAGAGCTAATATGATTGCTCGCAGGTTTGCACGATGTTCAGTACCAGTTAAGGTAACACTTTTTAAAGCATATTGTACATCCCTCTACACGGGCAGTCTGTGGGCAAACTACACGCAACTTGGCTATAACGCCCTCCGTGTTCAGTATAACAATGCGTTCAGGGCAGTGTTG